ACTGATATAACTGCTACAGACATAGGTATTCTAAGATTGCTATAGCAAATGAATGCAATTTAATACACGTATATATTTTAATAAACAAACATAAAAATAATCTGTTATTTAATAAAAATGTACACAAATGGTTGACTCGACTATAAGATAATCTGCTGATGTCCAACAAATGAAATTAGCACCAAATGAATTTTTTATTCGTTACTTATTTCATTTTGTGAGTGTTTCTGTGATAATTCAATAAACTTCGATTGCCCTATGATTTTATTATTTACCAGAGAGAAACTTTGTATAAAAGTCGTTTGCTTGGACACCTTTATCCCATTTATGTTTCTACCGTGAAGCAGTTGTACTTGCATAATAACCATTGTGGGAAATTCCAGATATATTCATAAGGATAGGCTAACTGACCTGCCTCTTTATTCTCACCTATCACTACTTACTGTTACAACACCAGTATATACCGATAGCGCTGGCGATGTTACCATTCCATCATTACCCATTAAAATAAAATGTTCAACTAAGTAACATCTAAATAGACTCAGTGTCAGTCATCAATTTGTATTTGTTGTAACATTTGTAACACTTAGTCCCGTCGTAATTAAAATACTTAACAAATTACTAACTTGCCATTTATATAGCTTTGACAAGAACTACATTAGATTGCAACTTTGTAAATTTGTTATCCTTAGAAAACGTGTAAACTACAGATCGTTAACATGTTGCTTGTAAATACAAAAAATAAGGAAGATATTTGAATGTAGATTTGAACCTACCCTAACCAGTCAGGTATTTATATTATAACACCTTTTTGTGGAAGAGTATATAAGTTTACTAATAATATTATAAATGTAAAAGTTTGTTTGTTTATTACCTTTTATCGCCTTAATGGCTTAACTAATCATTATAAAATTTGGTATACACGTACTATATGGAATGGAAATGAAAAAGGATATAGGCTATTTTTATCCCTGTCAGTTAACATCGGTCGCGCGAACGAAGTCGCGAGTAAACGCTAGTGTCAATATATTTAAATATCTTTATGTATAATTCGTTTGTTTATATTTTCATTAGTATTAATAAGTCCCTTTTTAGAAAGCTTATGTATTTTTCAAGTTTTTCCAATAAATATCTAAAGTTCACCCAATATGCGATGATAGAGCTCTGACCTGATGACTTAACACTTTGTATTTAAAATAGGATACATTTGTTTTTAAACTATTAATACATACTTAATACATACATAATTAAATACAATAGTTTTTATTTTGACATTGACGATATAATGGTGAAACTCGCTGCCTCATCTTTCCGTAGTAACAGATTCGAATCCCACTCATTACCAATGTTTACATTAATTAGTATCTCTATTTGTCTAATGGTTTTCTGTATATAAAATGAATGTAACGGGCATCTATCAGTTCTCTTATACCTGTTGTACAAACTTTACTTATTTTAGTACTAGATGATGCTATTTAATTAAGCCCACTCATATTAATTTTTTATATTTAACTACATATAAATATCAACACATACATATTATAATAATTAAGAACATACTAGGTTTAATTTTACCTGATTGGCCTGCTTTAAAAACGATTTTCACACTAAAATAAATGTGAAAGCTAAGTACATAGATTCGTGCCACATGTCGGCGACGCGTTGTTTAATTATACGGTGTCCCGCGCCCAATATTTATGTCATCAACTGCTATAGGTACATATAACCATTAAAATGGTTATTCATTACTTAAACATAAAATATTTAAAGATAATTTCCTGTTTCATCCCATTGCGTCCTGTTCATAATAATACACGATGTCGATGAGAAATTAAAATTGCTAAGCTAGTCATCTAAAGAACTGTAGCACTATATTTATACTCATATTAAAATACATATAATAATAATAAATAAGTATCATTAGACATATTACATACAGCGTCATCTGGTCTGAAATAAAAAATAATAATGCTCAAGCTTAATGTTATATATATAGATAGATACATAAATACTCTTTATTTTTTCCTTCAAAAGATTACAATAGTAAACTTATTATTGATGTAAACAATTACAATATATGTATATGTTTTTTTTAATGGGTGAAGATGGAATGGTAAACCCGCCTGCGCTATCGGTATGCGCACCAGCGGGGCACCAGTGAAGGGTGACAAGTGAGGATGAATGCAGGTCAGTAGGACCATGGTAACCAATTGAACAAGAATTAACCACTATGGTTTATAGGGGGAACCGCGTGGAGGTCGACCTGATAGGGTGTACTGCTAACAATGGGCCTGTTAAATCCCATCACTAACAATACCTTTCCCCCTACAATATATATTTTAACATGCATATTATACTTAAAAAATCACCATATCAATACTCGTACATACACATAGGGGGAAAGGGAGTGTTGGTAATGAGATCTAACAAACCCATTGCTAGCAATATACCCTATAAGGTCGACCTTCATACGATTTCCCCTGGAAACCATCGTAGTTAATTGTCTAATTTATTATGATAGGTCGACTGGCCTGTTTTCACCCTCATCTGTCATCTCTCAATGGTACCCCGTCAGCATATACTAACAGCGCAGGTGAAGTTATCATTTCATTATCATTCATCGAAAAAAATACATACAAATGCGGTCATGAATACAAATATTTATACTGTGTAAAGTTTAAAGTTAGTGGATGCAGGTGGCTCAGGTAAGTTCTTTATGGCAGTCTATGGGGGAGGCTTATGTACAGCAATGGACGAATAATGGCTGAAATGATGATGATGATGATGAAAGATCAACGACTGTTAATTGCCATCAGAAGTTAAGGTAGTGTCTCAAACCGCTACACCACAGCGGTTTTCATATGCCTATACATATATGTATATATGTATGTATATACACATAGCTAAAGGAGTTCCATTAACGATCAAATTCGAATCCAGCAGCTTATATATTATAAGGTAAAGTTAAACACTTTAACTTTTTGTTGTGGAACCAATAAACAGTTTTAAGTATAAATGCGTTTTCGAATGGAGACCGAGTCAAGGCAAGCATAGTGTGGGTATATCCTTAGCAAAACTGTAATAAAATCATTGGTGAATGTGTAAAACGTAGAATAACGTGTCGCAGTAAATATCTATAGCCTGTAGTGAATAATCTGAGAAATGATTGATAGTCATAGTTTAAAAATATTGTTATATTCATACAACTCACATTACAATAGCAAATTTAACTTTTTCTTTAAAGTTACAGTTACTGTACAGTCTTTAAAGTTACTGTAGTTGTATATAGGTATTCCACATTTAACTCACATATTATTAAGAATTAAAGCTCGAGCTAATGACTAAACTGCATTTTTGAATTGACGCACCGTCTAATTATTGAAACCGTAACAAAGCACCACACACACTCTTATCAAGCTCAGCGTTTATAAAAATGCATCATACTTGTATCATGCACATCATAAAACATAATATTTATTGTGAAGGACACTAATCCATAATTTTTTGTATATAACACGTAACCAATTTTATTTTATAGCATTCTCAAAATCACGGTTTATTACAACCTCTTTATATCATAATTGAGATAAAAACACGGAAATAAGGATTCATTTTTCAATAAAAAATATATATATATATATATATCTACTCCGAATTAACGAAGATCTCACATAATATAACGCTAAAAAAATGCAGTCGGATTGAGATTCTTTTCCTTTTTGAAGTTGATTGAACACACTTGATTGATTAAAACGGACAGCCAGTACAACCTACAGTCTTCTTTTTATGCTTCTTACTAAACTATTGTAATATAAAAAAATCAGAAAACGCTTCAGATCATATCAATGTAACCGCACCGCGTACTCTTGGGCGCACCCCACCTCCACAGCTACGTCACCACTACTAGCGCTGTATAAATAATTCCACTCGTGCTTTTCCACTTCAACTACTACTAAATTAAGTTTGCCTCAATTGTCTGTCCTACGAACAATGTATAAAACATCCAAGACATTTTAGAATTCTGTAACCAGACAACAAAAGCCACCATAGAACCATATGAAATACATTACTCACTTTTCTAGATTATATAATATTACTAATATTAACAAACATGATTAGATAATAGAATAATATTAAGCTTCTATGTATTGAAAATTACTTGGAAATAAAATATTTATAAAATTTATTCCCACGCTTTGAATACATTTTAGCATTTATATATATATATATATATATATATATATATATATATATATATATATATATATATATATATATATATATATATATATATACAACAATTAAGGTAACGAGATTCTAAAATTTCTAACAGTGTTTGGCCTAACTCTAACTCATAATTAATATTGAAATGGGTCTATTAAATATCATAACAAGATAATATAATCCTATAATCTAAACTCAAGATCCCCGTAATTATCAAATCCGAATTCTAATACGTTTTATTTTGATTCTTTACTCTTCTTTTCCTAAATAATGCGCTATCAATCAACTCTAAAAACTCAAGTCTCTAACTACCAGCCAAAATATTCCTTTAGACGATCTCCAATAACCTTTCTGAACATAAGCAGATGATACTACAAAAGAGGCTGATATCTTTAAGTAGGAATCTTCCAATAGACCTTCTCTTAACTATATTTACTGATATTATGCATTCAAAATATAATATGATAAATCTGATATAACTTCTCCTGGTGACGGTATAACAGCATTTTAATCAAAATTAACTGCAATCCTAACTAGTATGAATAAGTTTTATTTAGTCATTTATCCAAATAAAAATAGCTGCATACAAATGCGTAAGTTATATATAAAGTGTGTCTATTAAGAGTTTAATATTTTTATATAAAATCGGATTCGAGCATAAATAAATAAATGTGTATCCCACTAATATAATAAATGTTAAGGAGTAGGTTTTATCCTAACGTAACACACTGGACAGTTTATATAATAATCCATGCGGACAAAGTATAAACAACTAGTATTAAAATCAATTCAATTTTTTAATTTATTTTATTATTTATTTTATAATGATGAAAAACATATTCATTATTCATGAATATACAGCAGGTATATCATCTTTGCTCCAGTCGATATCGATAGTTTTACCGGTGCGCGCGCTCTCCTCTGCTGCTGTCGCAATCTTGCTCACGGCAAGGGTTTGCCAGCTAGTCACACTCATTGGAATCCCATCTATAAGTATAAAGGCGAAACAGGATTGATAATCGCTCCATTCTACAATTTAAATCATCGTTTTTATGTTCTCTTCCTTTTTCATGTAATCTGTTTGTTTTTAACCTTCTCCATCCCATATAGTACATGCATACCACATTTTATAGTAATTGTTTAAGCCACCAAAACGGTGCTATATGGTAACAAACAAACTCCCTTTCATATTTATAATATTAATTATTGTAATATATAATATTGATTTTGTTTTTATACAATCAAAATTTAAATTTTATTGCTTATTATTTCTTATATGTATACTTTCAAATTTGAAAATATAACAAAACATTTATTTAAACTCTTAACAATTTACTACTTGAAAATCATTAAAAATTTAATTCCACTAACTATTATTTTTTTTAATTACACAATTACTTTTGGAAAATAATTTTCATATTTTATCAAAATTTATACTACAAAACAAAATCATTGTGAAAATTATCATTAGTTTTAGATTTGGTAAAATTGCAAAAAAATAGGTTATAGGGTCAAAATCATATCAGGCAGCCAAATTATTCTGCTATACTCGTCCAACTAAACATCTTAAAAGGAAACCTAAGATTATCAATTTCCGTAACATATTAAAAACAATATTGATAGATAAAAAAAGGCAAAGAACTAGAATAAAATAAAAGTTATGATAACAGTAGGTACTTTAAAGATATTAACGAAATACAAAATTACAAAAATTAAGATCACTGCGCAGCCAATTTTTTTATGATATCCCTGTTCGCCATGATACCCTGGATATAAAACAAATAATAAACGACATTGGCATATCTCTGTGTATAACAATATAGTATGACATCTGTGATTACAAATTGCGATTTTTAACAATGAATTGTCAACTAAAAAGAACAAAGCATACTAGTATATCTATGTTTAAAATAAACTCGATGGGTCGTAGGTTCAATCCCCGCATAACACGAAAATTTGTATTCATGAATAAGTCTAAGTGTATAATTTAAAAAAATTAAAACATCAATCCCAATAATCTTAATACTAGATAGAAATTGAAACTTGCTGTTCCAAAGTATCGTTTAAAAAAAGTTTGTAGGTCTTTTATGGAATTGGGCATTAAATGTTATAATAAGATACTGAAGGATATTTTGGATATACCTTTAAATAAATTTAAAACTGTTATTAAAAATACTTATTGAACAAGACCTACAAATGCTTGTAAACAAGTCTATTTAAACAAAGACGATTTGAATTTAATTAAATAATATCCAAAAATTATTTTAATTATCAGATGCCCATAGTACTTAATTTAGTTTAATACTAAAGTTAGCAGTGTATTATATTCAGGCCTATGTATATATTTGTAAAAAAGTATTTGTGAGTACTGTTACTACATTATAAAAAAATCATTTCACCGGCGGGAAGCATCTGCAATGTCTATACCTAAATATTTAACTCGTGTAATTTATTATTCATTCGCTATTTTAAAAAAGCATCTCATCTGTCTCTTTGTACGTTTATCATTTTATTTTTCAAGCTTTACAAGTATCGAGAAAAAGTTCTGATATTGTATTATACAAACAGTACTTGAATGTAATTCCAAATATTGATAAAGTCTTTATCTTTATTTCATAATAGCCACTTCACAAATTTATAGTTGTAAATAATTTATAACAAATGTGTTTATTATACATTACAGTTATCTACAAGATAAGCAATTGAAAACAAATATATTGATATTCAATACAATACTTACGTTGAACAACATCCAAAAAGTGTTCCAATTCACGTTGATAAGCAACCTTGTAACGTGATGGAAATGAATAGAAGATAGGTGACAACTTTATACCTTCTTGACCAATAACCGTCTCAGTTGAATGACACGGTCTTTCATTTTCAACTTTAATCATACCTGTATATAATATAATAATATAATATTTAATAGTTCAGTTAGGCACTTTTTAAAATTAAAAATTTTACCTATACCTATATTATTATCATTATGTCAGTCGTTAACTGTCCACTATTGAAGTTAGGCCACCCACTTGGAGGATTTTGCCAATAACGCCCACGTTTAATCACCTATATAGAAATGAATATCATAATCAACCTTTAACCGTCCACTGCTGGACATAGGCCTCTCCTATAAGAGAAGTTTTGCCACCATACCCGGCAGGCGAGTTAACAACCGCAGTTAGGTTTTAGTGATGTTTTAAGAGAGACGCTGCTGCCCATCCCTCGACCATTTAGTTCTCTTAGTCGCCACTTACGACATCCACGGGAAAGGAAGGGGTGGCTCACTTTATGATAGGATCGCACGGCTGATATTATCATCATATCAGCCGTTATCTGTCTACAGTTGAACATAGGCTTCCACTTAGAGAATTTTGCCAGAAGTTGCCACGTTAATCACCTATATAGAAATGAATATATTATTTATAAAATATAATAATATTATTTTTAAAAATATTGTCACGCTTTATGCTTCCAAGAGCAAATAGTACTGTTTACCGGTGCGCTTTGCCAAATTCCTTAATAGTATTGTAGCCAAGTTAAAAAGGTCTTAATATGTAAGTATATACATCTAATCGTCATATTTTTTATAAATAATGAACTTTCCATATTTTTTTATTAAATTAATGTAAATTCCATAAGGAACTTCTACGAGTACTAACCTTTATTTCCAAAAACTTCAAGCCTCTGATCGTAACCATATGCTGAATAACGGCTATTGTCACCGAGAACAACAGCACCAGAAGGAAAGGTTAGCAAGAATGCAATAGTGTCAAAATCGTCAATAGCCTTTACTTCAGGAATGAGTGCAGAAGCAGATGCTTGCACCCGTATCGGCAATTCTCCCAATACCCAGCAAGACATGTCAAAGTCATGGACAAGACAATCATGAAACACACCACCTAAAAACATTTTATTTTATTTTATCGACATCTACTGGTACTTAATTAAATTAAATTTTACCTGCAGTTTTAAATTTACTTTTAAACTTCTCAATTTAATGAAGACTATCAATATAGTTGCTCTATCAATGACTAGTGGCTATTCAGAAGGTTAAATAATATGAATATATTTACCATCAAATAACCATAGACGTATTTAAGAGAAGGAAAGCTTAAGACATCAACTAAATTATTTTTATCAGTTTATTAAATTTATTTCTTAAGATTATTTTTAATAATAATAATAAATTCTCAGTTGTTTAATAAATGTGCGTTTGATAAATAATGAAAAATTAATAAAACGGTGAAACAAACACATAAACTTGCAATTTGAGTACCGCAAATACTCAAATCCTGTATTCTAGTATCATGTATCCGAATTCTGTATAGCTGAATAGATATTCGAATACCTATGTAACTATTAGGTACTAGAGTTAGTACTCGAGCCAGCTAGGCTCGACATGTCACTATGTCAATTACTTATACGTTCCTTATTCATTCATTCAACCATTGATCTTCTACTTTTTGTAGAAAAACTCAAAGAATATACAGATACAAATGTACTGACATAATAAAGTTTTAAAGGGAACGCCTCATCTGTTACGTAAAGTTAAATTTTCTTTACGTAAGAGATAAATAGGAAAAAAAAATTACTTACCCGATGTCTTTAAATAATCGATTGTAGGGAGAGGCGAGTCTCTAGCTGTCACTTTCAGGATCTGCACATGGCCTACTTCTCCTTTCCTTACTCTTTCTTTAAGGTTACTGTAAGCGGGATCAAACCGACGATTGAAAGCTGCAAACAAAGTTCGACCCTTGGCTTTGGCAGCTTCGTAGCACTTCTTCGTATCTTCGATGTTCTCTGCGATAGGCTTCTCACAGTAGACGTCCTTGTTATTAGCAATAGAGTTTACCACAATGTCATGGTGAGTCCATGTAGGGGAGGCAATGAATACCACATTAACGCTGAAAACCATACCTCTGTTTTAGTACAATTTACATTCTTCATATTTTAAATGTGTAGGTTATAACTGTCACTTGTTTTATAGATTTAATATATGATATTATAGTGGGTGGTTCTTCGTAAAATATGGTTGAAAACTGTAAGGGCTAAGCCACCCATCATAGTCATGAATAGTAGAATAGCTAGTTGTTGGGACTAATCTTATCTAGTTAACAGCTACTGATTTTTTTTAAGTTGAATTTTATATCATCATATCAGCCTTTAACTGTCCACTGTTGAACATTGGACTCCCCCTTGGGGGATTTTGCCAGTAGTTGCCACACTTAGCAGGCGAATTGGCAACCGCAGTCAGGCTTTAGAGATGTTTTAAGAGGGACGCCGCTGCCTATGCCTCGCTCTCCCTTAGTCGGTTCTTACGACATCCACGGGATAGGAAGTGGTGGCCTATTCTATACCGGGACCACACGGCCAATTGAACGGCCAATAAATTTTATATGTTAGTGACAATATTTGAGACTTTTGTAATTTTGTTCAAAAACTCAACAGTCGACTTTCTTGCCATTCATCAGCTAAAGATACTTTCTGAATTTCTGTAAAGCTCTATATGAATTTTTCTCGATTTATATTATTAATGACTATAAAACAATAAATATTTATAGATAATGGTACAAAAAATGGAAAAAAAGTACTAGTAATAAAAGGAAACCCTAATTAATTAATACGAGAAAGGCCGTCGTTACCTTTATATTTTGTAGCAGCTGTATCCCGTAGTTTCACCGGCATGAATCATTATATAAAGTATGTGTGCTAAGTTAAAGTATAACCTACTCGTATATTAAATTTCATTAGTTTTTGAATGAAAAGTAACAAACATCCATTCATTCACTATTACAAACATTCGCATTTATCACACAACGCAAAAGATCGACTATTGAAAATGTAATGACTATTTGAAATATTTAGCGTTACTGGCGTGAAAGTGTTTGCTTTGTGCTTGTTTTTTCTCCTACCTTTTATCTGTATAAACTCGGTTAGCCTCGGCTGGTGTGATAAAAATAACATCGCTGCTTAATCTCCAGAACTTTTTTAAGTCCGCAAATCTGTCCTTGCGATCATCAACAATATATTTAAGGATGATGCGTGGATTATTCACAATACTGCTGAGATGAATGGAACCGGCACGACCCAGACCGAAAATAGCACCTACTACTGGTGGAGCTTGTGACCTTGACGCTTGATTTGCAGTCGAGTTGTTAACGTACCTATTGAAAAGGACACTATTAATATTATATATAGTTTATGCATGTTTCATTTTATTCAAACAGTCTCCAATTTTCACAAAAGTCAGATTTTTTTTTTTTTGCTTAACCAATATAATTTATGATCAAACGAATATGAGTATATAAATTTGCTCCAACGAAATATGACTATAAATATTTATATTACCATAAAAATATTAAAAATGCTTTTAAAATGTCTAGATTGCTTCTGAGGCAATTGAAAATAGAAACGCTGATACTTTGAAGCAAAAATTTGGCCTTATAGAATTTACCTGTGATACTTATGTTTGTTATACTACAAATATACTTATATCATTACATAATCTGTAAATAAGGACTGTCTGCGCCGTATGTGTAGGCCGCATGAATTATTATATATATATATATATATATATATATATATATATATATATATATATATATATATATATATATATATATATATATATATATGTTGAACCCTCACTATACAATTAACCAATTAATGAATATACTCTGGGTAACTGCTTAACTAAGACAATATCCTGTTCAGAAACTCAAGTTCCCATTACTTACTCAGTATGTAAGTAATCATCTTCTGGATATGTTTGCCTAAGCTTATACGGGGATGGTCCTGCGAACTTTTTAGTTGCCATTATATGACGTTTACGATACTGTAACAAAAATAACATTTATCAATTTCACTGTGGCTAAGTTTATAAACACTCTCCTAGTAGTCTAACAAATTATAAAGAAGGCTTAAAATATTCGAAATTTTGATACCAGTCAAAAAACTAATATTTACAAAAGAAACACAACAGGTATTGAAATGTTAAAGTATCATTTATGGTTAAAGGAATAAAAATATACAATAAAATACCTGTTGATATTTAAAATATACCTATAAATAGAACACTATATTAAACTGTTTTTAAACCAGTTTACCAATCACCGCAATTTCAGAAATAAACACTGAATATTTAAGAAACAAAATAATTTATAATCAGAATCAAAATAAGGAGATACAACTCTTTTATAGCACAGCATAAACTCTCTGAATGAAGCAGCTTATATATAATAATAATAGGAGTTAATTCATTCAAACATTAACTATTTGGCAAAATATTAATTATAGGAGATATTGATTTTATGTAATGGTATATTCAAATATAATATTTATTGACTTGTAAAAGTATCTCAAACGGACGCAAAATAAATATTTAACTATTAGAGTGCCAATCTCTTTGTTGATGCGATCTTATTTAAATGATAAAACAATAGAAATTACTTACCTAACGACAATATTTATCTCTCCTGCTCTGGTCACGTAGTATTGACATCAGTTACCGTCTGTATCACAAATTTATATACATTTAAGTAGGTATAATTATTGACACTAGCCTTCTTGCACTCGGTTTTCGTCATTATCTGCAAAAATATATTACGGATTATATTAGATTGTTAGTTTTATATTAAAAAAATTTGGATATTCGTATAATGCAAGATGCAACGTAACGGGTATACGAACGCGAAATGTAGTCCTATACATGAGCCTGAAATATATATTTATATATTTTCATTTAATGAAATGATCACATTCGTATGAAACATTAAAAAATAAAATGCTTAAAGGTGGAGAAATCATTGTAAACCTGCTGCACTAGTTCTTGAATAGATGTTTACGGTCCGGTTTTGACCAGGTGACTGAGGCAGGCAGCTCATATATAAAGGCAGCAAGTCACAACAGGAGTGCAATTTTTATTGCGAATTTAAGCAAAAATGTATCGAGCTAGCCTTGCTATAATTCAGGGAGTAGTAACATCAACAGTCATGTATGGAAATGAATCGTGGGTATGGTAAAAGAAGCATGAACGTAGGATAAATGCTATAGACATCAGAGAGTAGTGTGATATTACGTTAAAATAAAGAGCAAGAAAAAGTGTGATTAGAGAGAAGTGTGTACCGAAAGACGATGTACTAACAAATGTAGGTTTGACCATTTGGAGCGGATGGATAAAATAAGGATTACGTAAGAGATTTATCGAGTACAAACGAATGAAAATGTCAGTAGGGGTAGACAAAAATGGACGTGTGTTGACTAAATAGGTGACGTGCTGAAGAAGGGCAAAATTAAAAATACCCGTAACCAGCAAGCGTGTATGAAAAGATTGATGAATGTAAAGGAAGCGAAAGAGATCTGTTTAAATCGAAGCATTTGTTGTTCTATTGTTTCTGCCTACTCTAATGGGCACGACAGATATATGTGTGTATGTAATAAGGAAAATTCTGTATGTTTTACAATTAATGCCGCTAAATTTCGAATTATTACGTGCCATAAGTTTAGAATTAGACACTGCAAACGAACCCTCTTTCTTCCAAATACTTTAAATGTTTTATATAAATGTGCTAAGAACATTTCATGAACATTCTAATAAGAGCATTCTTTCGTTATTCAACTGTAGTGAACAATTAAGCACTTAATACATTGTCCTTTTAGCCTGCTTTGTCCTTTTAGTCTGACTTCACCTCTGAATACTTAATGATATCCAACCTAATACTCTCAGAAACGACCGCCTCTTGTTCTCCTCTTAAAATTTCAATACAAAGTATATTAAGTATTACTCCATATATGAAGTTACTACTTATTACTAAAACTCTCCTCTATATATATATATATATATATATATATATATATATATATATATATATATATATATATATATATATATATATATATTCAAAATAACAATAAATACTAACGTATGATTTTAATTTAAATACTACTTATTTTAATTAAAATTATCGTGTTTTTACTCACTCACTACTTATTTTTCTTGTATCTTATATCTTGTAAAATATTTTGCTTTTAAATATACGTAACAAAAATAAAGTTGACCACGAATTTTTTTGACACTTGAAATAAAACCTGTGATAATAAAACAATAGGTAATATAATAATATAGTTAATTCTATTGGATTGACTGCTTCTATGTATTACGTAATTTTTTTACTAGTAATTTCCTGCGTTTAATTATTTTATTTATAATTTTACATTACGTCATAATTTTACCATCATCTCAGAAATTTATTTATATATCTTAAATTGAAAAGTCCTAAACAAAATAATGTACCTATGCAGCAATGAGTAATTATAAAAATAACTATCAGAAGACAGACATAAGGAGATACTTACGTTCATGTATATAATATTTGTTTTATAGTGGGTACAATTAATGATAATTTATTATATAATCTTTTACGTTTAATCTGGTAGGGTTAGAAAACTATAAAACAGTATTTTATGATACTCGTAATTCATCCAAACACTTTCTGTTTATGTGGTCATCTTTCTGTATATCACATGAACCACATTTTTTTTTTTATAAATTAACTAATCTAAAAGGTATTTTTTAAGAACCGCTATTATAAAATTTATGTTATAAAATTTATGTAATAATAATTTATAAATTTTATACATTCGTGTATGTATAACAAGAATTTTTGTGAAGACTATTACTAATAAATTTACATTTTCTAAAACACAACAGCTGAATAAATATCTCAAAAATATTTATTCTTATAAGGGATATTGAAAGTGAAGAAAACCGGAAAAGATAATTAAGAAAAAGTGCAGTACCTACTTCGTATACGAGGTTTGTCCGGAAAGTACGTATAAAAGTTTTTTAAAAATTTTATTTTACAATTATTCAGGTAAATCAATTTTATCCCCTTCAAAGTACTCCCCCTGTGACATAATGCACTTGTGCCAACGCCGTTTCCACTGTGAGAAGGCTCCTTGAAAGTCCTCTGGTTGTAGGTTTCTCAGCTGCCCCGTCGTAGCTTTTTTTATCTCATTTATGTCCCCCAAATGCCGCCCCCGAAGTACCAATTTGGTTTTTGGGAACAAGAAGAAGTCACACGGGGCCAAATCCGGCGAATAGGGGGGGTGTTCGGTCACCGTAATGGAATTTTTACTCAAAAACTCACGGACAACAAGAGAGGTGTAAATTGTCGTGGTGAAGAATCCAACGCCCCTCTATTCTGGACGAACTCGTGCCACACGAGCTTTTCTGAGCACATCGAAGAATTTTCCATCAACTGTCTGGCCTGGAGGGATATTCTTGATATCATCGAAAAAAACAATCAAATTGTCTCGGCCCTCTCTGAATCTTTTTTATTCACAGCATCATCCCCATAAACTGTTCTGAGATCGGCAAAAATTTCACGGCCATTCTTGCCGAGTTTCGAGAGAAACTTGATTACGACGCGCTGCTCTTCAACGGAAGCGGGCTCCATGCCGACGGGGTTTCGTTAAGAGGTAACTTCACAGATGGCGTGACAAGCCAGTTCGCACCGCACGGCGGTCAGACCAGAACTGAAGCATTGTTAGGGACATAAGGAAGGGGTCCTGCGCTTACCTGGCCTCCCCACTCCTCTTTCTCGCATTCCAGAACACTTTTATACGAACTTTCCGGACAGACCTCGTAAAAACACTGAACAATATTTTTAAATAAGTAACCCAGCACTATTAATGCCTACCTATATCTGATAACGATAACCTTACAGTCAAAAAATAACTCATACAAAACAAGTAATATGTGATTACAAACAACAAATACGTGGCTCTAACCTATAATGATTATTTAATTATTTATCACCGGTTAGTTTAACACTAACCCGTAATAAATAACCCTTAACGGGTGCTTCAGCACTTAAAACCTCTTAAAATTTCATGAAAAGTTAAACGCATACAATTTGCTCCACAAAAAAACAACGAATTCAAACCTAAAGATCCACACACGCACACCCAGGTGCACACACGCACACATTCACACACAAATACCTGCGCGTGTGTTTGTGTGTGTATGTTTATGTATGTTACGCAAAATTAAAATTATTTGAATTGTATTTCAGAAACGATTCCGTCCAGAAAGACTGTCAACACTAGATTCTGTTTCGCTACAAGCAGTTAACTTAACAAAACAAGAACCAACATGGAAATAAATCCCAGTTGATTACAAAAATCGATTCAAAATTGGCGATATAATCGCATCATATAGGTACCAAAAATAAAGATGAAAACCTTTTTATGGAAGTCGCTTATCTATAACTATAAAGAGGACTGCTTGAGTAAAAATGCTATCGCAATGACAAGTTTCAATAAAGTTTGGTACACAGATAATCCTTATCCTAGATAGACAGGCTACTTTAATTTTCATTCTCAGGATACAGCAAAAAACTAATAAACACAATAAATACCTTAATATATGAAAACTAACCGTGTCAGTACTGAACTACTTACTTGTGACAAAAGCTCTATGTTTAAAAATAAGAAACTCCCTCTTTAATGGCACCTGATCTAATTGTATTTGTAATGCTATATTGTCAGTTCTCAATCTTTCTTGATATACCTTACTTTATATAAGGATATGAAATTAATCTGGAGTAATTCTTAATTTTTTTTTAATTTTGTAACAAAATAAATACTAATAAACCATGACACCACAAAAAACGCATGTAAATTCTATATATATATATATATATATATATATATATATATATATATATATATATATATATATATATATATATATATATATATATATATATACGTGTATACACTATGTACAAAAACAATCCCAGCGTAATTTGTAAACCTGTGAAGGTGCGTGTTCGAAGCGGAATTAAGAACTTAGATTGGCACCCAAGTTTTGAGCTTCGACTTACAATAAATCAAACTCTTTCCTATTGGCAACAATTTGTTCTCGTGCACTAATGTACACGAAAATAAATTATACGTAGCATATAGTACATGCTATATTGTACCTACTATGTTATAAATTTTTACAGTTTAAGTAGGTACAGTGTGTATGACACGTAGGGCAAACAAGTACACGGTAAAGTTTTTGGTAAGCGATTTTATATTTATCTTCAGTAATTTATATCATAATTAATCTTCATTTCAGCCGGATCCGAATCTTAATTGATCCCAATGACAACATGTTGCTGCCTTTTAGGAAGGGGTATGCTCTTTTATGTCGTATCTATTGCGAATTACACTAAAAATGCACAGAACATACCTAAGAACCAAATAGAGTACAGACAGATAAAAACAACAAAGCAGTAATGATATATGTGCAAAATTTTATACGAACTATCTCAAATGCATTCGTATATAATTTTGCAAATAATGTTTTTATAACTTTATAACCCTACGTTAAGTATAATATTTTCCATAGAGGCTTTAAAAGAGATCGCTGCTACGCTATGGATCATCCTATTGCCACTATTTATAATATACTCGTGTTATAGCGGCACCTTCTGGTATCAAGAGTTTCTAGGCCTCCTACATTATATACGAAGCCTCTGACGTGACTTGCTGGCTGACAGCTTTACGTGCTATCCGAAACAAAACAAGAACTTATATACAATTATGATTAAATCTTCACGATTCAAACATTTATATTTATAAATATGTTACTTTTACCGTAACATATTTATAAATATAAATGTTTGCCCATTAATCTATTTTTTACATTTATTAAGTCTCTGATGTAATTATAGAAAATTTTAGATTTACCATAATTCAGGCTTTCACAGTAATAGGCACAACAGACATGTTTAGTGCATAAAGCTTGTACTCGTAGTAAGAAAGATAGTTTTTTTTAATTGATCATAATGTTGGTTCCGGCATAGAATAGGCCACCCCTTCCTTTCCCGTGGGGGTCGTAAAAAAACAAGGGAAGGTGAGAGATGAGCAGCAGCGTCCTTCTTAAAACATCTCTAAAGCTTAACTGCGGTTAACGCAACGCAACACAACTAGGTGGGAGGTTCATGTTTAGCAGTGGACACTTAAAGGCTGATATGATGACTGGTGACCTCGCCTGCGCTATCGGTATACGCTGACGGTTGACCAATGAGGGATGATAGATGAGAATGAAAGCAGATTAGTTAGTTAACCCATCGTGACAAACTCTACAAAAATTAACCAAGATAGTTTCCTAGGGAAAACGCGTGGATCAGGTCGTCCACCTGATAGGGTATACTGTTGACAATGGAGCTATTAGACGTCTATCACTAACAATCTCACAAAGATTAGTTTAGGTTTGGTTTAGTGAAGGCCCGAAAAATCTCTTTTTATAAAATCCTTACATTTACCAACAAATCTTAAAATTTGTCAATATGAACTCAAAATTTACCAATGTAGGAGCAGTTACAGTAACAAACTTACCTGTTTGTATTAGTCTAGATGTTTTCTATATATAGTATGATAATATTACTAGAAATACTTATTTTAATTATGTGTATCAGTTATTTAGTATCACAGGTATAGCTTTTACTTAGTTTATACTTAATCGACGCTGTGTCATATGTCCAGTGATATTTATTTATTCATAGATAGATATAGTTATTCATTATTTATATAATAGTAACCTCGCTAATATACTTACAGAAACAACAACGCAATAAAGTTTACTATTCCTTTTTCAGCCTTTTAAAAATCAATATAATTATAAAATAATAACTTACACGATTGCTTTCATGTTAAAGATATTTAAGACTTCTAAGAAATTGAAACTAAGGAATTCCCATAAAACCAAGATAATTTTGGCCATATCTTTCATTGTGGCTGGGAGTAAAGGAGATATATGTTACTAAAACCGATTACCCTCTAGGAGTTTCCCTTGTGTTCAAAGTAAATGTATTGAAGCGGAATGTTCCACGTCAGAGGTAAAAGCAAGTATTCATGTTTAATTTCATCCCTATATAAGAGCCCCGAAAAAGTCTTTTATCTATTACCCAAATTCCGAAAGAATGGATTTTTACAGTTGTTTATAAAAATAGTAAAAATAACCATTGAATTCTTTTTAATTTACGGCACAGCATTATATAATAGGTATGATTTTGTTATGACGGTATAACCGGTTACTAAAATTCATTATATATGCAATCAAATAAAAGCACCCATTTTTCTATACAAAACTTACTATACTTGTAAAAGGCTAACGCCTACATTAATACTTTTGAATTGTGAAATCCTTAGTTAAATTGTATTTAATATTAATTAACTACTTTATTTTTTAATATTTTTATTATTTTTGGTTATCCTAAATAATTATGTTTTTTATTACATTATGTGATTTTTTAATAAAATGAAATTAAATTTTATTTTGTATGTCAGAGTTGATTAGTTTAGTTTTAGTGATCTAAAAAATTGTGGTAGTTTTAGATTTTGACGAAAAAAATGGCAGCTGTCAATATTTATAATTTCGGCGTTAATTTGGGCAATTTTATGCAAGTTTGGCCAAACTTTATTTATTTATTTATTTATTTATACTTTATTGCACCAAGTAAAAAGAGAAATAACAAATACAGTAAATATTAATGAGAATCCTTATCGCTAAGCAATCTCTTCCAGACAACCTTTTGACATTGAGAAAATTTAACTATTATATAAATTATACAAACATATATTTTACATATATACACATACATATATAATATATACACAATTAAATATATACATAACATACATACATACATACACATACATATATAATATATACATAACATATACATACATTATATAATATATAACAATAAATATATAATTTTTATTTACAACAGAAAAAAATGACGAAGGAAAACGAAGAGAGAACACAGGAAAATCTAAAGTGAAAGGTAGTAAGATTTGATTAAGCTAGTAAGAGTTTTTAGTGAGTTTGGACGAACTCTGAACAAAAGGATTTAGAATAAAAGGAAGAAGAATGAGTGGGAAATTTAAGTCGGAGGTTATTGACAAAAAAGTATGATCATTAGCCTCACTGAGAAACAATATATTTTAGATAATCGGCAGCAGGATTAAAAAGGATTTTGAAGAGATTTTATGCAGATTTGACGAAAACGGATAGAGAGCTTTGTCAAGTACTGTTGTCATATTTTCAATCAAATATTAAATTTTGGAACCAGTTGTTTAATTGCTCTTCTTTTTCAAACTTTGTCAAGCTGTTGTCATATTTTTAATCAACTTTAGAACTTAACCAGTTACCCAAACTTGCCTGAACTCAACTAAACTTACTATACTTGACTGAACTAAGCTTAGCCCAAAATAATTGAGTTTGGTCAGTTTAATCAAATTTAGTTAGTTTAGTCAAGTTCAGTTAAGTTTGAATAAGTTAGGTCAAATTTGACTAAGTTTAACCAAGTTTGGTCAAATTTAACAAAATTTGGTCATTTTAATCAAGTTTAGGTTTGACTACATTAAGCTAAATTTCGTTATATTAATTAAATTCAATAAATTTTAGTAATGTAACTCTGTAATTGTAATCAATCTAAAAATCGAAGTATATTATAAATTACTGAAATATTTCTGAATTGTACTTATTTTTTGCATTACAAGTATAACAGAATAAATTTTAAATAAAAAAAAACATTATTTGTTTTCTTTAAATAATATATTGGCCAATAGATATGTGTAAAGATTTTAGAAGCTCAAATCTAGTCGAAATGATAGAGGACTTACAAATATATTATTAAAATACTTAACAATAAAAAAATATATTTATTTTTAATATAAATTAGATTTCTGATTGTTTTTCTTATCACAGAAAATCAGCTTTAACATGGCAATAAAAAATATATTTATTGATATAATATACGCATCTGCCTTTTGAATAGTCCGTAAAAGTCAAATTCATCACCATATATCCAACTTGATTTTGTTATCCGTATACCCTACCAAATTCAAATATAACCTGTGTGCATACTTTCTGCATAAACAGTAACGAATAAATTATTTATTTATTTAAAATTTGTTACGATATGGTGCTGTGTGGTGTGTGACTAATTATCGATAATATTTGTTAAAAATTTAATTTTCTCCGTTAATATCTAATACTTTTTTTCAGATTTCTAAAAGATGATTTTTTAAAAGACAAATGGATGGATGTTATTATTAGCAGCAAAAAGAAATTGGAACTTGACAAATAATGCACGAATATGTAGTAAATATTTAAATGAGGATGATTATTTTGAAAGCTCAACAAAATATAAGCGTTCAAAAATAAAATAAATTTTATAATGCTACGACTGTACTTTTTTAATGCGAAATATTTATATACTCTTAAGTTTTCAACGTAATTATATAATCTACAAGTTAGTTATAAATGAAATGAGAATTTTAATAAATAATACCTAAAAATGTATTTTCGTAAATATAATTAATATATTTCTTAATCCATTTTGTAATTATGACTTCTGCCCCTCTTAAAAGTTTTTTTGCCCTTACTTAAACTTAGGACTAGCTATGGTCCTGTCCAACATTCCATTCATGCTTACAAACTTTTGTATTTATAATATTAATAGGATTTTGTTTCACAAAACATAAAGCACTGACATCAAATATTAAAATTAGTTATATGGATTTAAAATTAAACTACTAAACCAATTTTATTAAATTCCTTTGGAAATTATCCGAAAGAACCTAATTATAGCCTTTCAAATAAAAAATAAATATTTTTTTTACAAATTATGCAATCTGCAAACAAGCAAAAAATACAACACATGGAAAATGGTAACCTTTTTTAGAAACCATTTTTTTTTTAGTACGTTTGTTCCATGGACATAACAGACCATGCTGTAGTCTTCAATATGATAAATTGACTGAAATTTTAGAAACCAATTGAATATGTCATCTAAATTGTGGTTATAATTTTATTCAATAGATACAGTTAATACTTATCATCGATTCCATTATTAGAACAGATACAAATAAATATCGACAAATTCACTCTATCAACAGCATCAATCCTTTTTTAATCTAAAAACTAACCTACTACGAATTGAGAAAAAAGTGACTAATAATATATCTTAGTCGTCTTTTAGCTAATAATATTAGCGTAAGAAGAAAACAAGCAACCATACGATTTACTGTTTATATTTTATCATTCTTTCTATGTTATACCTTGTTCATAGCTGGAAACCCTTTCTATTCACGGTATTTTAATATTTGGATTGAGATGAATAATTTTTAAATATAGTAACTCTCAAATTGTCCAATATCTATTATTTAAATTTTTTTTCTTGTTCTTTGATTTTTTATTATATGTCAAGTGTCATTAAAGCTGACACAGATGTCAGATGTGACATAATAATATCTAGGTTTCTGATTGGCGTCACTAAGAATAAAAATGATTATGTGAAACCGTACAATCAGTTCATGTAATTAAAAAATTTTACACTATGAAATAATATATACTTAGTTTTTAATCAAATATACTTATCGATATTGCTACTCTGGACTAAGGCATAGATATTATAAATATTTGTTTAACACCATGAATATTCATTTATTTTATTGTGTTGATGCTTCTATATGGTTGCACAGGTTATATCTACTTTTATCAACATAAATAATGCCGACTTTAAAGTATTTCATTTACGACCCGGTCCTTGATCAATTTCAACTATAAGTATTCAAAAGCAAATCTTTAATTCTATCATTTACTTCGGGAATTACAAAATTGTAATATTTTTACACTCTAAAGATAGAATTTTAAATATAAATATGAAAGAACTTTTTTTAATCATATGTTTAATGAAACTTTTCCACTACGGGGTATGTTCTTTTATATAATTTGTTGTTAATAAACGCATCACAATGCAATTAATACAAAAAATAACATCCTTACATGAAAACTTAAATATTGCTGTGGATATCTGTGAAAACTCTTTCCTGTAAATTATCATTTGTTTTGTGTGCACTGATCAGCTTTTTATATGAAAAGCTTGAATCTAAATATAAACAATACTGTTATCAATTGTTAAAAAAAAATACTTTTGTACAGTACATACTTGCAGATATATGAATGACCTCTACCTCCTTAAGAGTGCAAACACAAGAGTTTTTCAATAGGTACCCTGTATAAATTGTAGTATTTTGCTAACATATTACGTTCATGGCAGCCCTAACTGAAAAATACAGTGTAGTATGACCTCGTTGAGTGAAGCATTTAGCTCAAATATGTGGCAAGAAGTCTGAATGCAGATAGTTTATAACATCAGTTCTTTATAGCTATCTATGAGGAAGCATGTGTTCAACACAGGACAGTTAATGGCTAAAATGACAATATTTTATTAAAGTTTTTCTCTTATAAATATTATCAAAACTTAAATTATTTTAGATGAGCATTGATTATGATGGCTGGCTTAATATAAAAATAGAGCATACATTAAATTGCAAAGATGGAAAGTATTGCTCTAGAGGTAATATTTCACTAAAAAGTATTCGTGCTGGTATAGCTACCATAGAACAAACACCTTTTACAAAGCAACATATAGAACAATTAAAGGTAAGGATTATTTTATTCTATTATTAAAAGCTAATGTCCCACCTAATTATAATTTTTGTTTTTGACAAGCATACATGTGTTTCATATACTTATTAAAAACAAAATAAGCAATTTATTTAATTAAATTATAAAAATTAGAATAATTTTGGACAATTTTTAAAATACTTATTCATTTGGCACAGCTAATAATAATGAGGACAATTAATGCTCGAGATTTTCTGAATTTAATACTTTACTTGATATAGTGTGTAATAAAATCAAAATGTTTTAGGAAATTGCAGAAATTGATGGTTTTTACACTGTAAAGACCTTAGTGACATCTGCTGATAACAAAGGAACTGAATTATTATCATCTGTAAAGGCTAGGTCTTTTCTTGAAAATGGGTTATCAGATGTAATTAATGCATGGATGCTGCCTAATGGTGCTGTTACTGCAGTTAATTTCCAAGTTACAAACTCTTCTAAGGCACTTCAACATAACAAAGATGGATATTTAATAAATTCAAAATTCTTTCTTCGTTATGTGGAACAAGCCCCTGTGTAAGTAAATTTTATTTTGTATAGAAAAAAAACAAAATAATTAACAGTAGCATGTACCATGAGAGTCAGATTATCTTCTGTAATTTCATATACAATAGAATAGAAAAATGTTTATTGCCAGAAATATTACAAGTGCATACATTCCTTTCATCTCATTCTAGGCAAAAAAGCTGACTGAGCTGATGCCTTATATATCACAATACAATATGTACTACAATACTGATTTTCCCTCTCTTAATAAAATATATGAAAATGAATAGTTATGGTTTCATGGAAACAAAATATGAAATTATTATGAGTATGACTGTAATGCATTGTTACAAGAATGTGTTTATTTCATTTGCCCAGACACTTCTGTCCTATTTTTATTTCTACCATGACAGTTGTTTGCATAGCTGTGTTTTGGTTTGAAGGGTGGGATATAGCAGTGCATTTACAGGGTACAGAGAAAAAACACTTGAGTCCTCAGAAATGGCAACGCATCGGGAGTGTCACGGGCAGAATAGTATACTCTGTTATGTCCATGGTACTACTCATGTCTATAGGTGACAGTTACTACTTTCGATCAGGTAGGCCATCAGCTTGTTTGCTATACTAAGTTGCATAAAAAACAAAAAAAGCATAATATGATTACAAAATTTAACTCCACACACATAACCAAAATGTATTATCATGCAACAACCATTATATAAATTTGAACATATTTGGTGTAGTAACACACCTATTTTCTAGAACAACATACAGGGTAAATCTGTAGGCGATGGTAACCATTTCCACTAGGTGGATCATAAGTTTGTTTGCCATTCCAAGTTGCATAAAATAAAGATCTGAATTTCTCTCAAAAGTGGTAGACAAAATGCATTTGATACCACATATGAGATTGTTGCTCTCTTACTTCATCATCATCTTATTAGCTGTTAACAGTCTCCTGCTGAACATAGGCCTCCTTCATAACAAGGGTTTTGCCAATAGTTGTCACATTTAGCAGGCAAGTTGGCAACTACAATTAGGCTTTTGGAGATGTTTTAAGAAAGATAATGCTACCCATTCCCCGACCATTAAATTCCCTTAGTTACTTCTTATGACACTCACAGCAAAGGAAGTGATGGCCCATTCTATGCGGGGACCAAAGATAATTCTTTTACTTACCAACATCAAATTTGATAAAGATTTAAATATTACAACTGGTATACTTATTTCATGTTAAATTTTATGCAGACCAGATACGGCTTCTTACATCCAAAAATTGGAACGCGAGAGAGAAGCTAGAGAAAAAGGTGAACTTAAAGATAACAGATCATTTCTAGCAAAATATGTAAGTAATGAACATATCTATCATTATTGTTATAGAGTTGTATAGGTACTATAAAAACGAAATACATATTTATCTCTAAATCAATAATTATTTCTGTGATGATGATTTCACGGGAATAGAAGTGCAGAGTAATAATAGTTGGGATTGTGTGGTATTGTAAGAAATTTGATTTACAGTTGATTTCTAAAAGGATTTTGAATGAGTTATGATATTTAATTAGTGTAATTTGCATTTTAAGTACCCACAAAATAAATACATAGTGGAACTTTATATTTACTAATTTGTAAGATATAGATTGAAAATAAAGGCAATGTAATTATTGCAATCTTTATTTGCGTGACAAGATCAATAATATATTGATGGGCTGTATATGATATAAAAAGTAGCCTATATACTTCTCCATATAATACAATGTATTTGCCAAAGTTCATAACATTTGATTGAATCAAGGCATGGAGACAACAATAATATTAATAATTAAAAAATGTAAAGATAACTTTTTATTGAGATTACTTTTTATGGAAAAAGCTCAATATAAAATTGTATGTACCAAGTTTGATAATGATCGGATAAAGCGTTATAAGTTACAAACAGACTTTCCCATTTGTAAGAATTTCCAGTTTGTTAGAATTTTGCTATGAAACTAATATTTTAATTCCATAACAATAACTTGGTATAAACAGTTTTTGACATTATAAACAATCTTAGCATGTCTCCTTAAGAGCGTTTATATCTTCAGTTTATCGAAGTGTGACTATGTCACAGTTATCACTTTTCAATAACTATTTTCCATGTTTCTATTTACTTTAAAAGTTCTCTACTAGCGAACTAAAACATTAATGATGCAGTGATATTTTTATTAAGCTGTTACTGAAGATTTTGGACAACAAAAAAAGCTGAAAAATGCCAAAGCACATTATAAAGTAGGTGCAAACCTTTTAGTAGTAAATATGCAGCGATAATTTTCTATAATTGACGGTTTAATTCGCTAGCAGAACACTTTTGAAACAATAATCAGAATGATTGTTTAAAAAATTTATAGATAAATGTAACAGTGCCACACTTAGGTAAGTTAATGTATGAACACCCTTAATGAAATCCATTTAAGACCGGCAAAAAAACTTGAATTCCAGTGATTTACTCTTTATTTTGGTCAATAAAGGACATGCTAAGAATGAATCGTCATATCAGCCGTTTAATGTCTTAAATGAATATATAAATAAATGAATGTACTGAATTAATCTTTTTTTTTTTTTTTTTAGTGGATGTACATAGTTCCTATTGCAATCTTTGTGATGATATCAGGCGCAACGAACCCCGAACCAGCTGGTCAAGCAGCACGTTAGTGTAATGTACCTAATATTAATGCTTATTTAATAAATAAAATAATTTTTTTGTTCATTTATGATCTCCTTATTTTGCCACCCACTAGAGACGCAAAAAAATTTTAATAGATTCAACATACAACATTAAAGCAGTAATTACATAAAACTTATACAAGACGCACTAGTTATTCCGCTTGAGAATGCCAATATAATGCTAGTAAATGTATAACATATTTTGTTCGTGAACATGATACAAGAACTACCTATCTGCAAGTGTGTAGCCTACTTTATACAATACAGTTACAAGTAAAATGATAAAAAATAAAACTTAGTACAATTAAAATATTGGGGCCGATTCAGTGACGCCATTTCTCTAAACGAAATCATATCTTAGAATCAACCCCACTTTTAATTCAGGTAAATGCAAAGTACAAAAAAACAAATGTAATTTTATAATAGTAATAATTGTAGTAGTAACAATATTTTGCCTGTTTGCTAAGTGTGGCAATTACTGGCAAAATCCCTCTTCTGGGGGAGACCAATATTCAGCAGTGGTCAATAAACAACTGATATTATGATAATAATATTTTAAGACTTTTATTATGCACCAATCTTCTCAATTTCTTCAGCATCTTCAATATCAAGCAATCTGATCTTCTTGCCAAAGTGTGCTTCAATATCTGAACAAATCTGCATAGCCTGGGGAGAATCAATCAAATTGATAGCAAGACCTGCTTTGCCAAACCTGCCTGTACGCCCTATTCTGTGTAAATATGTTTCACAATCTGCCTTTTTGTCCATGTCCATTGGCATATCAAAGTTGACAACTAAAGTTACTTGCTCTACATCTATGCCTCGTGATAGGACATTAGTCGTGATAAGAACTTTTTCCAACCCTGCTCTAAATCGGTCTAAAACTGCTATTCTCTGTTCTACAGTAAGTTCTCCTGATAGAACTGCTACAGAATGACCATCTTTAGACATTTTTTCTGACAACCAACTGGCGGTTTTCCTTGTATGACAAAAAATAATAGCTTGACCAATTGTAATTACTCCATAAATATTACATATAGCTCTATATTTTTCTTCTGGGCTTTGACATTTTACATAATATTGTTTTATATTATCCAAGGATTCTTCTTCGCGAAGCAGCCGAATAATAATTGGATTGGGAACAATTATCTCTGCAAACTCCATAACTGCGCTACCATAAGTAGCAGAAAAGAACATCATCTGGCATGTTTGAGGCAAACACTTGTGAATTCGAATACACTGATCTTGATGTCCTTGTCTATCTATCATAACATCAGCTTCATCCAAAACAAATACTTTAATCTTACTCAAGTCAAACATACCAAATTTCACACCCCAATCAAGCATCTTGCCCGGTGTGCCAATTATAATATGATCAGTTATCTTTGTACCCCTAGGTACTTCCTCACCTCTGACAGCATATTTGAGTTTGATTTCAGGACAAAATTTTGCCATCTTAGCTGCTACTTCACCTGTTTGGATTGCAAGTTCATATGTTGGGCTGAGACACAACACTTGTGGATAATTCTTTGAAGAATCAACTCTACTCAGCATTGCTAAAACAAATGCTGCTGTCTTTCCAGTACCTGATTGAGATTGAGCAATCATATTTTGAGGAGGGTCTGCCAAGAGTGTTGGTAATGCTGTTTCTTGGATTTTGGATGGAGCGTTGAAACCCATAGCATAAACACCTTTAAGTAAATTTGGTTTTAAATGTAGCGCTTCAAATGTCTTTACTGAGTATAATGGTGAATTTGGATCTTTTCTCTGAACTTCAATATCTAATTTAGACTCAACTAATCCTTGTCGTATAATTTTCATTAGCAAAGATGTTTCGGCTGGATTCACAGTATCTGGTGTGTCATCAGATGTTTGATCATGAGGTTTTTTTAAACCTAATCCAGCAACCTTATTAGTTATTTCTAATTCCTCTGCCTTTTGCCCCCATTGATTTGCCATTATGGTGCTGGAAAGAAAAAACATACACAATATCATTATTAACAGTTAAGAGATTATAACAGTTTTGAAAAGAACACAATTCATATAGAAATATATAGATTATACTATCATATTAATGCAACCTATAAAGTTAGATACAATTTATTTTTAAACACAAATTTCTTAAAATAAAAAGATAATTGTTGATTGATAAAGGTTCCATTGATAAATGGCAAGAAACTATCTTCTTTACATCTTCCACAATTACAATGGCTGGTTACTTTGAAAGATAAAGACCAAAATTAGAAATTAGGATTTCTGGTTTGCTACCTACTATGTTAAATCCCTAACAATAACACATAAATTTATAGAATTCATGTTTTAAAAAAAAAAAGCAATTTGATGTATTAGGATTGGCCGAAATAAAACCAATAGGATATAATATAGAAAAGCATGACAACTATATCTTTTGCTATAAAGGAGAAACGCTAGGTATTTATGGGGTTGGTTTTCTAATAAAAAATTAACTAAATTCAAATATTACCAACTTTGTAGGACTATCAGAGAGAAACTTCAATAAAATATTATTTTTCATCAAAGCATATGCACTGAGAAGAAATCACAAATTTTTACATCTTATGAGAAGCTCATAATATACCAGATTAAAATATTTTGATTATCAGTGACTTCAATGCTACAATGAAAGATTTCTTATGGGAAGGTATAGTTATAAACACTTTTTTTTTAAAGAACAACAACCTCAAGTAAACATGGATTTTTCCCAATAAGAAAACTAAAAATGATCATGTCAAACAAGCTCAAAAGTATTACAAACATAAACATTTTCAATAGAGTAGAATTTCTATCAAACCACTGCATACTAAGTAAATGTGCAAATAAGATTTCTTTTATTTTTATAAAGAGAGTTTATTCTTTAAGAATATGCCACTCTCATATGGTTGAAAATGTAATTACCTACCTATCTTAAAGAACTAAAATCTGTTTATACCATTTTTCCAATGAAAAATGAAATCATAGAAAAGTAAAATAACCTGCGACCAGAAGGGGCATCTGATGGGAAATCATTCTTACTGACATCGACATCAGAAATAAATACAGCCTTTAAAGGTTACTAACCTTTGACATGTGACTTCTTAAAAGATAATGTTTTGTTTTTATACCCAGTAATTTTATAACTTTAGAATAAAACAACTGTCCGAGGTCCGACGGTCGTACCATGCAAAGAAATTGCAACCTTCCTCTAAATCATTGGGTAGATTCCCTCCATGAATTTCTTGTTATAAAATAATAAATACTTGGGTCGCCTTTTGTTTTCTTAGAATTAATTCTCGACAGTAGATAAAATCCCTCAATAGTAAATAAAATTATTAGCAGAAAAAAAGTGAAAGCAGGCATAGATGCCAAATGAAGTTTGCGAAAAACTTGGAAGTAATAATAACTATTGAAAACTCTTAGTGACATTTGCAATTTATTGCTTATTACTTACTTCAATAATATCAACACAAATACAACGTTAAAATGCAAAAAAAAAAATTATTTATTTTCACAAGGAATTGTAAATTATTTTTATTTTAGAGAGAGAAAAGAGTAAAATAACATATACACAAAGATACTTATCGACACTATGCTAAAGAGTATATAACCAAAAGAAAAGAGGCCACACTTCATACAAGCTACGTAAACGGGCTTGGTCAGGAATATCTTATCAATGTGCACAAAATACTCTTTTCTCGTTATATTGGCCAGCCTAATGTTCAAAATGGAAACGAATGGGGACTATAATGATATTATAGTTGAATAGTTCTTCGATATTAATAAAATATTAAGATATTTCTCTTTTGCAGTACAATGGATGATGCTATATTTTTCTGTCACGTGAAATAATACTCCATCTAATTGTATCACACGCTAGTTATCATATTGATAAGCTGTATAAGCTGAATGCACAAATTATTGAAAATTAAGAATTTTATGATTTTCATAACTACACGTATATAAAAAAAGACGTGAATCATCACAATAACAACACTTTAGCCTGTTCTCTAAACAAACAGCCTAGTCATCAGCTTTGATGTAGCGATGAAACGTTGAAATGGTATTCACCTTAGATTATAAAGTACATAGATTGGCAATGCACGAGACAGAAAATATAATATAAACTGTATATTAGAGTGAGAGAAACAATAGAACAATAATTTGCACAACATAAGCTCGAAGCTGTTTTAGCGGGAGTATAAACAAAATATTTTCTTGTTATTTTTACTTATTGAATTACAAATAGCTTTAAGTGAATATAGTTAGTTAAAATTAAGCTTTACCTGAATGTAAGATAAATAACAGGGAAAACACAATTTCGTATTTTACATGTAAATACGCTTGAAACATTTCATTTATTTAAATGCAATATTTAGAACTATAATAGATATTTTGTATATAATTCGAAAGAGAAAATTATCACATTTAAACAAATTAAAACTTTAAAGACTCAAATATTCAAATTAAAATAATAACAAGTACATAAATATCTACAAATTTTAACTTCAATTCCTTAGAAATTGCCAATAAATATCAATGATTTCTAATCGATTGCATCGATTTAACAAATTGACAAAGGCAACAGGCCGTTACATATGAAACTATGATAATTATGTATAAATGTATTATATAAATTAAAAAAAAAATTTTGAATCTTGCATAATCCCTCCATTCCTTGTTATCTCCGCGAGCGTTATGAATATTATTATCAATGAATATTAATATTCAAGAGACAAAACACTTTGCCATCAGATACGATTACTTCTAAAAACTTCACCACATCATACTCAGGCTTTTGGGAATTCCTTCACAGTTATATCCATTCGAATATGGAATGGTCTGCCATCCGAAATAAGAAAATCGCCAAGTATAGGCGTCTTTAAGCGTCGACTAAGGGAGTATTACTTATCACTATGCTGACGTATTATGTATGTGTGTATATACATCAATTTCATTGCTATATATCAAAAATTCCTCCTTTCAAACCGAAACGTATGCAAATACGATTGTATCATGACAGAAATACAAATGGCACATAAGTTCCCAAGCAGACAACTTTTGTATAGTCTCTCACTTGTAATAAATAGAAAAATATGAAATTATAATACCTCAGACTTTACGAATGACAATATATTCGTACATAGATCATGGCAAACTAGTTATTTTTATAAAAAAAACCGAACACTTACTAAAACGATTATAGTAAAATTTCTATCAGACTAGAAGTATATTAGATAAAAAAAATATATTTTCAAATTGGTTTATATTTTGAAATGACGTTTTAATCTAACGAACACAAATAAACAAACAACTAATGTAAACCAGAGGGAGACTTTGTACAAAAGTCGATTGCTTGGGTACTTCTGTCCCATTCATGTTACAACCGTGAAGCAGTTGTGTTTGCAAGGCTGTATTTCGGTTTGAAGGGTGGGATATGTTGTGAATTTACAGGGTACAAAGGAATAACACCTGAGTCCTCAGGAATGCCAACGCATGGGGGGTATCATGGACGAAACAGTATGTTATGTCCATGGTACTGCTCACGTCTATAGGCGACGGTTACCACTTTTCATGAGGTGGGCCGTCAGATTGTTTACCATTCTAAGTTATATAAAAAAAATACAACTGAATTGAGACCTCCTCCTATTTTTAAAGTCGGTTAAAATACATTCTATATATAATCTATCAAATGTTTTAAAAAGTCCACAAACTCAATCAATTTCTAACAAATACAGTACAAAATGTTATACGGCTGTATGACCCTACCAAATTCAGATAAAACCTGCTTGCACACTTCCTACATAAACTGTGTCGAATATATAATCCGATAATGTTAAATTTGTCATTGATTAATAATTGAGATATCAAACATTGACTTGCCTACTATGAATTGAGAAAAATAGCAACTGATGATGTATCTTTCGTCCTCTTTTTACTAATTATATTTGCATAAGAAGTTAAGAGGGAACCATATAATTTAGTTTTTATTTTATAATTTCTTCTATGTAATTCCTTGTTCTTAGTGCAGATGTCTCTCTAAGAGATTCTTATCTGTTTAGACATAGTCTCTCTAATCTGTGGATATGCTTCTGTCAATATTATTTTACATATTATTTGAAAATCAGAATATTTCTTTAATATAAATTTAAAGTTTTAGTTTAGATACGTACCTTAATTAAACTGCATACTTGTATCAGCCAAATATACCATACAGTATTTAAACATTTCTATCTCACATAGAGAGTATTCGTTATCTATTTACTATTTTTTTTTATCATGGAAGAAGTAGATTCTATAATATTGCATTTTCTTCGTCAATTAAACATGTAAGTCAAAATTCTTTTATTCTTTTCTATTTATACATAATTGTCTTTACGTATAGTAAATAATAATTGTCTTTATCTGTGCGCTTATAGGGTAGCAAAGATACTTAATTGATAAATATATCATTAACTATTTGTTTGCTCGTTATTTCATACGCGTAAATTTGATGGTGTATTAACATAAAACACCAGTTTTTAAGTTGGATCTTCAACAACACTACAGTGAAAACCACATTTAATTTTGTCCAGTAGCTTTTGCTTGATATCAGAGCAAACATAAAATTTTTTTTGTGGTTGATTGGTCTTATTAAGACTCCTCGTATAAATTTTATCAATTACCTCCAATTTACCTATATACATTGCCTAGTTACAATTTTATTATAATAGTAGGATAGTAGTCTTCAAATTCACACGGGAAATTTGTAGATAGTGTTATATTCTTTCTTAGAGATTTAGGCTAATTGTGTAAGTATATACATTGGTAGAGATAGCAATATAAATTGTAGTATAAAATCTATGTATTATTCCAATATCTTATTAAACTATATCTTAAACCAAATAAAGACCTTCAGTTTCTAATTGCCTAATCTAATTATAGTAATAAATACAGTATGATATATTAAAATATATATTTTTGATATCTGATATTCAAAACTACTATTAAAATCAATGATAACCATGTCTACTATGTGTTTATTATTATTGTTTTACCCTTAGGGGTAATCCTATTAACCTGTAATTATAAACAAAATAATGCTTTTTCAAATATTTATAATGTCTCTTTTTCTTTTTTTTTTTATAGAAATATTGATGATGGTGTTAAAAATATATGTGATTTGCCAGTGGAAACTATTATTGAATCCGCCTCTAAATGTTTGATTACCATTAATCAGTCATTAAAAGTGCCTATCAAATTACCAACAGGCATATCACACAGAATAGAAGTGGCAGCTCAAATAGCCTCCATTTGTAAGGTAAATTAAAATAATTAAATAATAGACAGACAGAGAATTTTGTAAATGTAAACTAATTATTAATTATATAATCTTAATTAATATTATAAATGTAAAAATGAGGAGGGAAAGAGATTGTAATTGTGATAGTAGATTTACATATTTCTTGGGCCTTTAAAGTCATCTGCATTATCAGTATATGTTTATTGGCCAGTTATAAATCTTCATCCCATATAGTACCCATATACAAACCTTCATAGTGATTATTTAAGCGATTTGTTAAGAAGTAGCAAATAAACAGTTCTTAATTTAGGTACTTCACCTTTCTGGAAGAAAAGAGTCTGGCAGAACAGAGAAAGTAAATTAAAAAGCTGAATTATTCTTTCAGAAGCTCTGCTGTGATTCTATCAGTATATCATAATATAGCCTTTTTATTATCTTATTCTTAGTTTACATATTGAGTGTTATTTGTGTTAGTTACTTACCTTAATATTTAATCTTAGTAGTCTATGTGGTAGTATTTAAAAATATATCTTTTTATTTTTCTTTATTTTTTTATAGGAACTCGGGTACAACCCACCTCCAGTGTATTCCATTCTTGTTTATCATGTGCTTGTGTAATCCAGTTTTCTTCAGATTACTCTTTAATGTTGTCTGTCAATTGATTTTTTAGGTCTAGTTTCCATTGGTCATTTGGTCATTTCCATCTTGTAATCTTAAGTGTCCATTGGTCATACTTACACCTTTCTTTATGTCTGACTCATTTTAATGCAATATATAGGAGAGCACATTTGTTATTTTGGTATTCTTCTTTGTAATACTACCATTTCTTTTTTTTTATATTTTCCTGATATTTAAGTTGCTTCTTTCCAAGACTCACTGAGATGTCCTTACTTGTAATTCTGTGATTATAAGTTCATGATTGATAACACCTGAGTCCTCAGGAATGGCAATGCATGGGGGGGGGTGTTTCGGTTTGATGGGTTGGATATGGCAGTGAATTTACAAGGTACAGAGGAATAACACTTGAGTCCTGAGGAATGGCAACATATGGGAGGTATCATGGGCGAAATAGTATACTCTGTTATGTCCATGGTATTGCTCATGTCTATAGACGACGATTACCACTTTCCATCAGGTGGGCCATCAGCTTGTTTGCCATTTTAACTTGTATAAAAAAAATGTTTCAGGACCTGGGTTACAAAAATGATGTTGGCTATCAAACATTTCTTTATTATAATGAAGCAGAATTACGACAAGTCTTTATGTTTCTCATTGAAAGATTACCAAATGAAGGGAAACAGAAAACAGCCGATGCAATAGATACAAATAGAAAATCATTACTTTTACGAAATATTAAATATAAAATTGGTGAAGAAATGAACTTGATTTGGATTCCACCTTGTTGCAATCTTCCAAGTCAACAGAGTATTGGTGATTTTACATATTCCAAGGGTAATCTAATTATATGTTATTTACATTTTGCATATAAACTGAAGGTGCGCAGGATAAATAGTATTAATTAATTTTAAAGTTTCATATTGTTTACACATATTGTAAATACACTATCGGAACTTAAGGCGACGCAGTTGCAGGTAAATGGTACCTACGAGGAGAGACTGATAAGTTCGCGCCCACATCATTCGCTAGATATATCGACACCAGGAATCCCCAGACTCGATTTATTGTCGAGGGAAGCGCCCTGAAAGTTTTTTTGCGGTGAACGCACGGACTTGTGTCTTCTTAGGGTTGAAGTGTACAAGATTGCGTTAGCCCCAGATCGAAACTTGATCGAGTGAAGTTTCGATTTCAGACACAAGTCTGTTCCGGAGTTCATTGGTATGTGCCCGCGAGATCTTTGCATGACTGTCGTCCGCATAACAATGAATATTACTGATCTGTAACATATCATTGAAATGCAGAAGAAACAATGTCGGAGATAGTACACAGCCTTGCGGGACACCAGCATTCACAGGTTTTAAATCTGAGCATGCTCCGTCGACTACGACCTTAATGCTACGTTCCTTAAGAAAACTGGCAACTCAAGTGCATAATCTTGCACGCAACCTAAACGAAGGTAGTTTAGAAATTAGCGCTTTATGCCACACCTGATCAAAGGCTTTCGCAATATCCAGAATAACAGCTAAGGCCTCTCCCTTATTCTCGATTGCCACTGCCCATCGGTGTGTTAAATAAACCAAAAAATCACCAGCCGAGGGTCCCTGTCGAAAGTCATACTGGCGATCACAGATCAGCTGGTTGGTTGATGGTTAATGATAGATTCCATGACTTTTGAGAATAAGGAAGTAATAACTATGGGCCTATAATTAGCTAGACCTGAGCGGTCTCCTTTTTTAGGGATCGGATGTACCAGGGCAGTCATCCAAAACTTTGGAACTATACCTGATGAATAACCGAACCGCAAAAGACGCGTAAGAACCGAAATCAACTGTGGTGCGCACGTCCTAAGCACAATTGGAGGAATGCTATCGGGCCCACTCGACTTATGGATTTCAAGGGAGAGAAGTGCTCTACGCACTGATCTTTGCGTGAATTTAATATCCGACATAGAGCTCTTACAACGCGAGATGGTCGGCGGTGGTTTCTCCCCGTTATCCAACGTCGAGTTTGATTCAAAGAGTGATCCAAGGAAATCGGCCTTCTCTTTGGCGTTCAGAGCTAATGAGTTATCCTTCCTGCGCAATGGTGGGAAAGATGACTGACAGAAATTTCCTTGTGCAGCTTTACCAAGAAACCAGAAAGCTCGAGATCCCGAAGGTAAACTAGCTAATCTCTTGCCAATTCTACCAATATGCCCTGACTTCGCTGTGGCTAAAACTCTTTTGAAGGATCTATAGGCAAAGTTGTACTTCTTTTTAAGGACACTGATATTAGGATCTCGTGCCACCACACCTTTGGCCCAGGCTAGGAAGCACTTCTGATTCAGACGAGATGCTGTTCTACAAAAGGCTTCATACCAGGGCTGAGATTTCCCACCGACGGGTACCACAGATTTAGGAATAAATAATTCCATTCCTTGAAGCACGACATCAGCGATCGAATCGGCGATGGCGTCGGGATCCTTCACTGTGAAGCAAACCTGCCTCCATAGGTAAGATGCGAAAAAACCCGCATCTCATCCCAGTCTGCCGACCTGTAGTGCCAAACACGACGTCTACTTGTAGAACGAGGTGGAATCGGATTCATAAGAGGCACCTCGCTCCGCACCAGACAATGATCCGACGATCCAAGCGGGGTTCGACAGAAATCACATAGTTGTTTGGGTGAGTGGTCAGCTGAAGATCCAGCAGTGAAAGTGAATGGTCCAACACATAAGGTATTCGCGTAGGTGAGGAAACAAGCTGCGTCAGATCATAAGCCAAAGCAAAATCATGAACAGATCTTCCCGCATAGTCGGTTGTATGCGAACCAAGCCATTCGACATGGTGGGCATTAAAGTCGCCAAGAATCACGACTTCAGCGGAGGGAACCTGTTCGAGCAGGGAATCTGTAGCCATTTGGACGTGCTTAATGAGTTGGTCGGTTTCAGTGTTACCGCTATGAGACCTGTATAGGCATGCATAGACGCGAGGATGGTCATTACAGTCTACGCGCAGCCATAAAATCGACAGGTCCGTACCTTCAGGAGTTCAAGGCGGCGACAGCAGATATCCTCTCTGACATATGCACATACACCGGCACGCGAAACAAAACAATGTTCAAGTGTATAGCCCGAGTACGTCCGGTATGAAGTTTCGTTTGGAGAGGATATCTGTGTCTCCGTTAGAAAGAACAATACCGGCCACGCCGTTTCAAGGTGGTGGTGGACAGCGTTTAGATTGGAGTGTATTCCCCTGATGTTGCAGAAGCCCACATTGAGCGAAGGGGATACCGTAGAAATGTTGCTCCGTTTGCCCTTGGTTCCAAAGAGCGGAATTTTGTCCGAGACTTCATCCACTTGGTCGGGATACAAAGTAGCCTATGTCCTTGGCCATCCCATATAGTACCTGTATACTAAATTTCACAGCATTAAGGCGCTAAGAAGTAACATTTATAATATTAGTAAGGATATCGTAGTAGTCTATTTTTTTGTCTGTCATCGGTTCTACCTGATTCTGTATTTCTTATGTAATAAATAAGCATGTTACCTGTGTTTTCATATTCATATTACTCATAAATGGTCAAGTAGAAAAGTAGTGACAAAAGCCACACTAGTTAATGACAAGCATTTTATTTTTTAGTAAATTGTGACCAAACTACAATAAAAACTAGTCTCACTAAAGAGGAATTGGTACAAAAGTTACTGAAAATGAAAGAAATTATAAATAAAAAGCAAGCTTTACCTATAACACATCTTGAGGAGATCAAAAATGTCTGTATAGATGAAACGAATATGGCATGCGAAATAAATAAAAGCCTAAAAGAATTAAAAGAAATTGCTATTCATCTAAGGCAAAAGTTAGATACTCTAGAGAGTGAAAGGAATGTGATGGATGTTGAATATTCTCAGGTAAAGCAAATTTCAAAGTTACTTTAAACTCTACTTGATACTAATTATCCTTTTAGGACGCTATGCTTTTTTTTCATTGATTTTAAATCAATAGACTCGGTAATTTCAAAAATATAGACCTACTAACAATTCCCAGAGCTTTACTTGCGTGAACCAGTATATGAAATATACTGTAAATATAGCCTACCCATATACCAATTTTATTCAAATTCCTTAGGCCGTTAAAGCGTGATTGAGTAACAAATATCCAAACATCATTAAATTTTCGAATTTTCAATATTAGTAGGATACGGTGACTAATGGTCAAAGTCGTACCTTAAACATTTTGTTGTATTATTTTGGTACAAAATTCTAAAAAAGCTGATTCTATAAAATTTTAAATTATAGCACAAAACTATAAAATATATAAAGCTTCCTTAGACAAATAGCAAACAAATGTGCCAATCGGTTAGCGCTCGAATGAGTAAGAATATAAGATTGCATTCCACAAAACTGACTTCAATTGTGGCAAAATCAGTTATTTTGAACATAGAACATATAAACATGCGAATTGAGAACCTCCTTCTTTTTGAAGTCAATTGAAAACAAGTACTGAAATAAAATATAATGAAATACATTCATTTTTTCCCCCACTAAATTTATAGTTGCCCTCCTACAACAAGACTATACAACGTGGTACAAATATGACAGCCGATTCATTTCTTAGTTTAGTTCCTTTTTACTATTGGTTATGAGATTAAAAACTAAAATTAATATGTTTTCAGGCCATAAAATCATGTGAAAGAGCTGAAGCGGATATGAAAAATGTTCAAAATATTCTAAATAGTATTGGAATAACGGACATAGAAAATGAAGGAGCAATAGACAATACATTGGAAAAAGTCCAAAATAACATCAATATGTTACATAGGAAAAGTGAAGAGTTAACATCAAAAAATTTGTCCCTCAAAGTAGAAATCGATAAAATACGAAGCAGTATGGCTTTATCTGAGGTATCATATTTATGACAGAACCGATATTTATCTATGTATTAAGAGCCTATCTCTATAGTTTTGTGATTCCACCTAAATATGTATTGTAATTTTCCTATATTCAGCAGTGGAGAGTTAACAGCTAATATGATGATGATTGCAATTTTACACAAGTTATTATTTTAAAAACTATTTAATAATCATTTTAAAATGTATAAATAAAAAATTGTTTCCACCAATTATTAGACATCATTGTTACTTCTGCTTATTTTTTCTTCAAACCACTACCAATGCATGTTATGTGCCACAGAATTTAACATTATTAATAGATACAATATTTTTATACTCTTTAAAAAATCATTATACTCTCCGGTTTGTAGTATAGTAAGATCACTAAAATCCGCTCCCATTTGGTCCCGGCATAGAATAGGCCACCCGTTCCTTTCCCATGGGTGTCATAAGAGGCGACTAAGGGAAGGCGAGGGATGGGCAGCAGCGTTCTTAAAACATCTCCAAAGTTTAACTGCGGTTGCCAACCCGCCTGCCAAGCGTGACAACTACTGACAAAACCCCCTTAAGGAAGGTTTATGTAAAAAACTATAAAAGTATCGATTTATGATTATATTATTCTCAAAATTTATACCTACTTATTTTATTACTATAAAACTTTAATTACAGTCTGAAAGAAGCAAATGTAGAAATATATTGATAAATTTGAAACAAAATGCTAAAGATATGAAAGACGAATATGAAAAAAAAGAGAAAATAAAAAAGCAATTAAAAATAAATTACGAAAAATTAAAGGGAGGTAATAAAAGGTTTGTATGGAAAATATACGTATTTTGATTATTGGATATTTTTTTTATACTACAAAGACCACAATGGTTTCCAAGGAAGACCACATAGAAATCGACCTGATTAAGAATGTACCTTATATATTTTTTAATAAGTGAAATTGCCGTGTCAAAAAAACGTAAATGTTTACCTGTTCTACTGTGAAAATTGCGTGGGCGTATTTAAAAATTGCCACTTGTCTGTATGCACAAATTTTACCAGTGTGCGAATATAATATCATGTTCACAGGTCAACTTACACGAAAAGAATATTAGAAATAATTAGCAATGTTGATAAACAAAACATGGAAATAAAAAAAATATTAGAAGATACAAGACAATTACAAAAAGAAATAAATTCTTTGGAAGGTCAATTAGATAGATGCTTTACTCTTGCAGATGAAACTTTGTTCAAGGTATTACGATATGCGTTGTTTTATTTTGTCTCTGTCTGAATTTAAGTATCATAATTGTCATAATATAATATTTATTATTTCATTTATTTAATTTAAAAATCTTTGAAATTACAAGGTTATTCAATTATATCAGCAAGGACAAAAGTAGCCTATAACCTTTATCCCGCATACCATATGTACCTATGTCAAAATTATATGAGGAGTGATACAAAAACTTACTGTTAAGTCTATAGTTATACATATAATAAAAATGTATTTTGCAAAACTTCTGTGAAGGACCTTAACGATTGCAATAATAGCCAAATTTCTACAATTTTTATCTGCCTGTAAGTTTGTTCTGACATCACATCATCTTGTCACATTATATTTATACACAATATTATCTTGATATGGTTTTCTTATTGCCAAAATTTTATTTTATAAGATTAGTAAGGTTGTCATAAAGTAGCTACTTTATAATATACATGTTCATAACTTATAGTTAATAATCTGATTGTAATATCAACAGACATTATCTTATTTTATGTAAATGCATTTAGATACCAATAAGTGTTTTAATTTTTTTTTTTCTATATTTCATATTATAAATGTAATCACTAATATAATTTTACTTAATTCTTTATAGACCTATTGTTCAAAATTCCTAAATAGGTATTGAATTGTATAAGACAAACTTTTATATTTACAGTGCACATGAACCTGAATGGCTTTACATTCACTTTTAAATTTATTTTGAATTACAGGATGCAAAGAAAGATGATCAAGCTAAAAAAGCTTACAAGTTACTAGCACTGTTACATTCAGAATGCAATACAATTGTCTCTCTGGTCAATGATACTGGTTCTTTAGCCAGGGATATAGTAGATTTAGAAGATAATATTAAAAATGAAAAGGCTAAAAGAACTGAAGATATTTTGAAAAAGATCAATCTTGATCTCACCCAAATGCAAAAGGAATCTATTCCAAACTAGTAATGAGACTAATTTAATATAGTATTAGTTAAATGAAAATGTTATGCTTTCTGTATAATAAAAACTAAAAAATAATTGCAATAATAATTTTATTAATTAAATAAATTTTAAGTTTTGTTATTTTCGTTTAGGCAAAATTTCTGGTGGAATATAATTATTGTCACTACTTTTTGATGTTTCATTCTTTGTAGAGCTTGCCTCTGTAAGATTTTCTTTTTCTTCAATTTCTAAATCAATACTATCTTGATTTTCAAAAAACCATAATTTTTGCTCTTCCTCCTTCATTTTAACTTCCTTTTCCTGGATTAATTGCAAACGCTTCGCTCTGTCTAAACGTTTCGTTTGATCTTCTAGTTTTTCTTGCCTTACCTCTTCCCATAATTTGAATAACTGAAAAACACAATAACTATTATCATGCTAATATCTCTACCTATTTAACATTAAAATTATCCCAAAATTTCTAGTCTAACCAAAATAAGACCTTATCAAAGTATCAAATTCTTGTCAAAATGGAGCTATTATTCAGATGTAGTAAAGACCATGATGAATAAAACATGAGTTTTCCTATGTATATGAATAAAATTTGAGACCAAAACTTAATAATTGTCTTGAGATAGACTCATTAATAGTTTTAATTTTATCAAAATTTCAGCTATTCTAAGTTCATAATATAAGCATTGTTATAATCAGCCTCAAAACAACCACCATCTACATCCATAGATTTGTTTTTTACTACTTATTGATCTATACTAATAAAGCAAAAGTTTTATTTATTATAACACCAAAATAGATTATTAGTATTTTATACAAATGGATCAAATAATTAAATGCTTGGTCCTTACAAACATGATCTAGATGTGTATATATATATATATAATAAGAAATATAACAGAGGTGGGAGGAAGAACTATTTACATAAATACAAACCTTTTGTTGGTTTGCTATGTCTTTATTTTGAACTTTATTAATAGCATTTTCTATGTGTGTCTTTAAAGACTCTTCTAAAGACGCCTCTGAAAGCTTGACATTTTTTAATGCCAAAATACAATTTTCTAATATAAGTTTAGATTGTTCTTCTACATTGTTGCTTTCTCTCTTCAATAACTCTATAACTTCAGGATATATTTTTGAAGAATTATCTTGAACAATATTGTTGCAGAGTGTCTCTAATTTATTATACTTTTTATATGTCAACCATCCAATTAGTTGCAAATTTTTATTTAAATTGGTAACTGTTTTTTCTGATATCCACGCCAAGGTTTTACCAGATAATGTATAAAGATCTTTTAAGTCAAAATGGTCATCAAAATAGGGATTTCTTAAATATTTAACTCTAATTTTTATCTCTTCCACTTTTTTCGGTTTTTCAACAACTGGTTCAATAATTTCAGGTTTAATGTAATCTATTATATATTTATAACAAGCATACTGACACAATGCACAAGTTATATCATTATTGTATTCCTCTTGCAACATTACTAGTGCAGCTACGTTGGCAGCTTGTTCATAGTTAGATGAAGTTATAAGTTTGTCTAGTAGAATATTTGCTGTAAAATCATCAAGAAATAGTCCAAAATTAAGGGGATCCTTCAAAATTTCAATTAGCTCTTGAATGCGTTCATATTGAATAAAATTCCTAATAGTAGCATGATGTGTGGACTCTAACATATTACCAGTCTCTGAAGAAAGTCTTAGCTTGAGCAAGAGATCCTTCAGTTCTTCTAAATAATTAGGATCCTTTATAGCATTAGCAAAAATATCAACATCTAATGCGCTAATAATGCCTTTGGAAGAAACATGTTGATCTAGTGTGTTATAAAAATCTGTAAGATTTATCCTGTTTAATAAAGACGAAGAGATTTGTTTATTCCAAGCGTCGAGACATTTATATTCATTAGTTAAAAAATTCTTTGTTTGTACGTATGTAGTTAAAAAAATTTTTCTCTGAATACATATATTCCGTATAACCCGTAACATTGTAAAAACTTAATTAAAATATTTAAAGAAGAATCAATTTAAGATTTTCGAAAAGTATTTGCGTTAACTAATTTTTAGGTTATACTCTGAGATCAAAATCAGACTATTATATATTCAGATATTCATGTCACTTCAAATAGAAACAAGTTTGAATACGATCTATGCAACCCAATGAATATAATGTAATAACTGAGCAACCAGTTTTGTTATGTCTCCTATCACAATCTAATTTCTTTTTTATAGAGATAAGTTTCGATCCACATAACTGTGCCGGTCTATTTCCACTCTCAGTCTAGTTAAATATTATTACATATAGGTATAATATATCTTTTTTTATAGACGATAATGATATGGCAACCTCGCCTGCGCTATCGATATACACTGGTGGCACACATGATTATAAAGGTAGTGCCAACTCTGTATTTATATATAATGTGAATTTTGTTTTTCTTTTCTAAATTTTAGATTTCATCCCTGATTGTTTGGTTTGTAAATATACTTATTTATTAGCGGTAATTAAAAAAAGTTTACCTGGTTTAGTCTACGTAATTTCACACTATTTTTCATTCATATATTGGGTAGTTTTTCGGTGTTTCAAATCTGGATGCGGTTCTTTCTTTTATGCATTTTAAGTTAAGAAGAACGGAGTTAGTCTTAATGATTGTTTGCATGCGGGGCCCAAGCTTCAACGCGACATAATGGAGATTATTTGTAGATTTAGATTACATAAATATGTATTTACAACGGACATCCGAATGATGTTCCGTCAAAGTTTGATTAACCCAAAAGATCGGCCATATCAACTCATCTTCTGGAGAGAGTCCCCAGATATGCCTCTTCAACTTTATCAATTGAATACCGTCACTTACGGGATGAAGTCGAGTCCCTATCTCGCGATACGGACCTTAAGACAGTTGGCTGAGGACGAAGAATCACGGTTTCCGGCGGCGGCGCGTCTTCTTCGTACTTCCGTGTACATGGATGACATTTTGGGTGGTGCGGATACGCTAGAAGAAGCACAAAATCTTAAGCGGGATCTGACCGGTTTATTAAAATTGGGCGGATTTGATCTCAGTAAATGGACCTCTAACACCGCGGAGTTATTGAGAGACATATCTACGTATCTTTGTAGATAATGCGGACGAGCCTAGCTTCATTAAAATATTAGGCATCCAATGGGATCCCAGTAATGATAGTTCTTATCATACCAAGCTGAATGATAATGTAATATGTACAAAGCGTTTCATCTTGTCGACGGTAGCTCGAACTTTTGACCCATTGGGCTGGATTTCTCCAATCATTTTACAAGGTAAGATTCTGATGCAACGGCTTTGGCTATTAAAGTTGTCATGGGATGACAAACCACCTGCGGATATTGTTGCGGATTGGCAAGGCATTTTAATGGATTTGCCTGTAATTGAAAGTTTTAATCTGAAGCGGTTTGCCCTAGGAGATTCAATTCATGGATTTGCTGATGCGTCTGAACTACAGCTGTTTATTTAACTGTAACTTAATGATGGCCCAAAGTTTCACCAGTAAAGTCCAAACTTCATTCCCAAAAGCTTTGTCGACATTATTTAAAAAAATCTACTTTCTCAAACTTAATTTTTAGTGAATGCACTTTGTGCCAGGCCATATAAACAGAAAAAAACTAGGTTTGTCTTACCCATGTTTTACTTAGGTCAGAGTTCATCAACATTGTCATAAACAAAGGTTAACAAATCGTCCGATTAGATTGTAGCGGGCGTTTAACTGCAGGTTCACTGAAACTAGTGATCACCACACTCAAACTTATCACCTCATTTAGACTTTCATACATCTTTTTCTCACCAAGTGTGCTTAATAAGATAAAGAAAAAATTAAATTTTGTTTAAAATTTAAGTTAATTAATAAAAAAAAATTACATATATTCATTTGATTTACTGCATATTCATTGGTATAGTTCATATCGAATATTATAACACCAAAAACCCTATAAATTTTATTGATTTGTAGCTGTTATACATAGACACAGTATGAAAAAAAAGATTTTTCCCTTTTTATATTTTGAGTCCCCAATAGCCCTACTATGGGATGTTTCCGTATTACCCTGTATATAATATAGGAAATTAGTTATACTACTCAAGTAAATATTGAGGCAACTGTATTAAACAAGGAATCAGGATCAAAATTTTGGTTTACCCAAACTAGTATAGTTAGTAAGAACAACATTTAAAGTCAACATTTAAAGTAAGACAAAAAGGCAATCCATTATTTATTGTTTTCTTATACAATTTTTTTATATAGAATGACAGGGGCTGCTGGGATGAACATCAACTGCCATTGAATCGAGGTTCTTAACAATATATCTATTAAGATGCATTCAGTTAGATGGAGTCTAGAATATAAAAAACCCTTAAAAATGGCTCCACAACCCAACTTCTGGCTGATGGTTAAGTAATTTTCATTTTTGACACAATATTTGTAATGATATTATCTAATATTATAGACAAAAACAAGCTGTTGTATATTACATTTAATAATTACAATAACTACAACATAATAATTTATAAAATAATAGAATGTATAATATTACTTATTGATCATTTTCAAAATCAGCAGGATTCTTGCGGCCAAGACGATGATGTTCTCTTTCAACTCCTTCATAAACTAGATATCCGATAATGAAAGCTGAAAATAAATAAGTTGCAAATTTTATTATTAAGAAAATGATTAAGTAGCTCCCAACTATATTTTAATTTAATTATAAAAAATATTGAACGATCATATTTGATAATTAATGTACTAATTCAAAATGTAATGAACGTTAATTTTGTCTGTATATACCCCTTAAGGTGTTTACTATTATGTTTTCTCAGACATGTCTTACATATAGCTGAAAGCTCCACTTGTAATCAGGGGAAGGCACCAGACAATCCTAGGGATGGAAAAAGTTCATCGACCTTCCTTTCAATATTTAACATCATAACTAAAAATTCAAAAAACAAAAAAATTACATTTACTTTAGTTGTAAATGATTATTTTTATGATCCCAAAGGAACATTTTTATTGACTAAGATAAGTGTTCATTTTTCATACCAAATATTATAGTGAGTATGGCGAATTAACAATTGCAGAACCATTAAGGTTTTAAGAGGAAACAGACTTGATTACAAAATTCTGTAAGGACTGTGCTACAATAAACCACAGTAAAATGTAAAAAGTGACAGAACACAATAATAATGCTTTCAAAGACATAAGTACCTAACTCACTTAAATTATTATTTAAAAGTTAGCAAAAAAAAGTTTAAAGGTTGGGTGAAATAGAATTTTTTATGATGAAAAAATAAGAAACATCTAAATGAGATTGGGCATATTATCCCTACTGATATTTCAAATGTGGAAGAGTTTGTTTGTTATGTCTTAGCACCTTAACACCTAATAACTACTAAATTTGGTATACACATATTATATGAGAAAGTGAAAGAGAAGTTACTTTTTATCCCACTCAGTTAACATATACTAGTCGCACAGTCAAAGTTACAGGTAAAAACTAGTCAATGATAAAAATTGCACATTTTGACAAATTCCTTATGTATAGATAATAGTTTAGAGGAATAAAAAAGGTTACCCACCATGCATTGCCATTCCTGAGGATTCAGGTGTTACTCCTCTGTAGCCAGTAAATTCATGCCATATCTCACCCTTCAAACCGAAACACAGTTATGCAAACACAACTGCTTTACGGTTGAAACACGAATGGGACAGAGGTACCCAAGCAATAGACTTTTGTACAGTCTCCCTCTGGTTATACAGGGTAAGGGACAAAATCTAGCTTTATAAATGACCATGACACCGCATGAAAATAAATTGCTGCTCTGAGCATTTGCCCGAACGGCGCCCCGCACAGTGGGCTATGGTTATATGCATAAAACTAATTTGAAAAATGGATGAATTATGTAAGAATAACATTTTTCATCACACTCTGTACTCTGCTCACCCGTAAAGGACCTTGTGAAATGATACAATAATGAAAGAGGTATGTACAAATGCTAAAATACTTACGAGGAGCTACCCTAAATACATTCTCTCGAAATCTACGAAAAATGTTAGGGATTCCATTGGAAATTGCTCCAGCATAGGCTCGCTGTTCGTGTGGAGACAATTTATAAGTGATCAAACCACGAATTTTGGCTAGTTCTCCAAAATGTTTACCCATTTTTCCAATTTATTTTACCGATTATATAATAAATGTAATTTGCAGAAAAACTAGATTTGAAGAGTGACAATGTAGGAATACAGATTAAAGAGACCATGTCTAAAGACAGAATCTAATGACACAGATTAGAGAGATTTTGTCTAAGAACAAGAATTATGTCGTCAAAATAGATTAAAATTACCTAGATAGGTAATGTTAAAGATTATAACAATATGGTAAACGGGGATCAATAGGAATCAGAGTATGAATAAAGATCTGTGTATTGATGATTCATGTAAGAATAATTGTTTTTTTCTTTTAGAGATCGATTTAAAATTGAATAATGATTTTAGATTTAAACAGAGGGTTGACGTCAGACAGGTGGCCGGTCGTAAAACTTAAAACCAAGTCTTTTTGTAATATGGACAAAATCATATTACGCCGACCCCAAATTATTGGGATAAGGGTAAGAAGATGATGAGATTTAAAACTGAAGTAAAGTATAATAACTAAACATACTTGTACTTGTTTTATTATTTATGCTTTTCGTAAAATTTGAAAATTTTAAATAATAAAATATTATTTTTTTAATAGCACGATTAACATTTTAAATAGAAGCTAAAAATAGTAATATCCACAAAATGGATATTCATTTATTTTATAATATTTAATGTTGTTACTTCAAAAACTTCATTTTCCAGGTTTTGCGGATTAACCTTAAATACCTGAAGTTTTAAATTTGACACCGGGGTTATAAATCGCATTGGGCGCCTACAAATGATTTTATATTAATATTTAGCTGTTTTCATGTTACCAAATGTTTTTTTTTTTTAAATAAATATACAAAAATATCGTTTTGATTTTTTTTACTATTAGTAAACACAGTAAAGGGTACACGTATATTTTTTAATTTGATTTAAAAAATCAGTATTTTAAGGGTTAAGGCTGATACCATCTCTTGTAACTTAGTAATTACTTGCTCTGTGTCTGTCATTTGAATGCAACGTCAACACATACAATAATTACCTACCTATGTGTACGACTAGAAAAAAATCAGAAGGAACAATCAAATCACTAAATTATTAGAAATATTAAGATAAAAAGTTAATATTGTTCTTTTTGTGATTAACATGAAAATTTTCTACAATTGTTTATTCCGCAATAGTTATTATTAAAATTTATTATTATAATACGGGAGTAATTTCAAAGTACCTAAGGGAATAATTAAGAAGTTTGTATTATATTACCTATTATGTTGCTTAAAATAAATATATTAGACGTATAAAAATTAGAAACTCTTTAAAAAAATGTGTCATTAAAAGTTGTGTGTTAATTAGAAGAATTTCTCTATTGGATCTAAGAAAAATTTTACTTTGGTTAGTATCTGTACATTAATTATATTTTAATTTTATCTAATTAATTGTTAAAAAAAATTTTGTTTGTGTTTAAATAAATTACCTAATTCTTTTTTATTTGAAAGCGTTAAAAGACTTTATTTAATTTTAGTTGGGTTATAGAAGAAATTAAATGTATACTTTATGCATTGTTGTTGAAAGAATAACTTGATTTCCCATGTATGTAAATCAATATAATTAAAAATTAATATGACATGTAATATATATATTACTATGGCTTACTATAGTATATTATGGCTTAATAATCAACTATATAGCAGACTGTATTATTTTAATGTCTGAATTCTGTATTCTTTATCACATTGAATTAAATGAATAAGTACTAAAGAAGTAAGAAATAAAATTAGTTTTAAAAGTTCATCATACCAAATTGCTAAACAATTTCAAGACTGGCCTCTTAGTTAAAACCCCATAAGAGATAATTTTCTAAAAATGGTGAAATACATGTGTTAGTTATGAAGTTGACACATAATTATTCCTCAACTTTATAATGGTGATGTAGGTAAAGATTTGTAGACCCCGCAGCATAGGGGCATTCTTGACCTTTTAGGGGACCTACTAGTGCTCCTGTGGACCTTACTGATAATTTTGCTGGTAGGTTTCAAGTTAACAACTATATGACTGTTTTATACCAAGAGTTTAAACATAGACTTCCAAAAAGTAAAAAAAAGAGTTAATATAAATTAACACATCTTATTTTAACAAACTAATGGAGAATTTTCTAAAAAACATATCTTTTATTATTAACAAAGACCTGTTTCTTTCTGGGGCTTTGTGGTTTCATACTATAAAGTGGATAAGTAGAATTAGTTGAGCAAATTATAAGAAACTATCATGATTTATTCAACATAATTTGATGAAACATATATGTCATGTAATTAATTAATATAGCATTGAGATGAACTGTCTACTCAATTATTTATTTATTTTTTATTAAATCAGTTTTTTGCCATAAGGTCATCATTCAAAAATTTTTGAAGTTGATTTTAGTATTATTACTTATTCTTAACATCCAAATTAATTTAAAAAAAATATAAATTTTTAGGAAGATTATGGTACTGTGTATAAGTTATCTATTTTTCATCTAAGTATTATATATTATACATTTACTTTCTAATACACATATTATTTGAGTTTATCAGCTTTGGTTTGTATCTTACCTTTTACTATTAGGATAAATCAACTTAGTACCTATGAAGTCAACAGATGAGACCAGTGAAACTGTACCTGAAGTAGAAGCAGAAACACAGCTCACAGCAGAGAATATGGATGAGGATACAAAAAAATCACAAGTATATGCAGGCAGTAAAAGAGGTAATTTTATTAAGGATTATATAGATAAGGGCATCTATAGATAAAGAATAATTAGTCAGTGTATTATTTTGTCTGGCAGAATGAAATACATTTGTATTGCCTTGATATTACTTTATATATGAGTTATGTTAACAGGAATTTTTATCATTTATGGACTTAAAATTCCTTTTGTGCATCTGCTTTCTAAATTTATTAATTTGTACTATTACAAAACTGACTAACATCTGAATAGATTTAATGAAGTATGATTAAATAGTAGTAAGAGTGAATAAGTAGTAGTATAGTATATAGATACTAATATATTATTCAATTAATATAATAAATGTTAGTTTGTAAAGATGTTTGAATATTTGTTAATTATGCTTAAACAGCTAAATAAATTTCAGATTGGGTATATGGGGAAGTAGTATTCTTATTTAACACAGGGTATAATGAGCATGGTCAAAGCTGCGGAGAACATGTGTTGTACATGGCATATCAAAATAAAACACACACCAAATAAAATTTGTTATTATTAATTATTTGAATAACAAAATTATTTGGATTAGCGCATCACTAATAGGTACAAATAAGTAATGATTGCAGTGATAATCATACTTAGCTACTTAGCTAAGAAACTTATTAATAAAATAAACAAGTAATTAACCTGATCATATGACAATCATCTGATGTCTATTAGAATGAGTGATAATAAATTTAACAAAACTTATTCAACTATTGGAACAAACTCAGATAATCAACATTTTTATATAACATGTATATATATATATATATATATATATATATATATATATATATATATATATATATATATATATATATATATATATATATATATATGTATGTATATATATATATATTGTTCTTGAGGGTACTTAAAAATAACCAGTCTGGTTTTATGTTAGATGAGTGAATACGTGTGCTCTGATAAATTTAACATTTCCTGCTGTTACACGTTGTTACACGTTAGTGGCGACGAGGGAAAAAAAGTGAAAAAAAGTGCAAACATTAAATAACAATTACAAGTGCCTAAATTGAATTATAAAATTTTTAATAAAATTAGTGAATTTGATGTAGCAAATGGCTGTTGGGAAAACTATATTACAAGGTTTGAATTTTGTTTAAAAACAACTGAAGCGAAGGCGGATGATAAAAAAGGCTAATTTACTAGCAGTATGTGGTACTGATTTATTTGATTTAATTTCTTCACTAATAGCCCCTATGAAGATAAGTGCAGTTACATTTTCAAATATAAAAGCACTTTTAGATAATCATTTCCACCCTACACTAAATGAAATTGTAGAATCTTAAATTTCACAATCGAAATTAGGAAGAAGGCGAGAAAGTCCGAGATTATTTTGCTTATTTGAGAAAATTATCAATTCACTGAAACTTTAAAGATATTGGACCCACTTTGCGTGATCGTTTAGTTTGTGGGATTCGAGACAAAGCTCTTCAAAGAAAAATGTTACAGCAGTCGGTTTGCAATATGGCGTTGTCCCATGAATCAGCTAATAGTGATGCTAGTTAATAGTTATACCAGGGACTAGCAAATCTAATATAGATTTAGAAGAACCGATGGATGTTAATAAAATATCATACAGAAAGAGTGAAAGGTTGTCTTATAAATCTTCGGGTAAGGCTGAATACTTCCGTTGTGGTAAACAGCATGGAGGAGTATAAATAATACTCATACACATTTCTTCATAATCTACATCATCATAACAATCATAAATGTATCCGAGTAACATTTGTAGCTATATTTTTAAAATTTTCTAGGGTTTAAAATAAAAAAAATACACTAATATTATAAAGTGGAAAAATGTGATTGTTTGTAATGGATATACTCAAAAACTATTCAACCAATTAAAAAAAATCTTTCATCTATAGAAAGCTATACATTAACAGCGAGTGACATAGCCTCTATATTGTTTTCGAAAGTTCTATCTGTGCTTAGCTGGACTGGATATGACTAAATTAACAAATAAGTCTAGTGTTAGTTTCGTCCTAAGGTTTCGTCTCAGTAATGTTCTGAACAAAATAACCTTAAATATTGTACTTAGGAACTTGAAAGTCGAAAAACCTAGAATAATGTTATGTAAGTGTGAAAGTTTACTTATACTAAAATTATAGCTTTTTTCAGGTTATATAAAATATGTTAGCTTAGTCATTCTAACTTTACAAAATGCTGTATTGGGTCTCAGTATGCGATATGCCCGCACAAGAGATGTGGAGATGTTTTCATCGTCAGCAGGTGAGAATCATTCTATTGTGTTATTTCACTAGTGATTGCACTATGATTTTAATTACTAGCAATTTCTTAATATTGACTTCATATTATTATGAAATAGTCTTATGAATTTTAACTGACATTTATTATGATTTATTACTATAGGTACTTATGCTTAAGCTATTGCTTATTGCGAATAATGTCAAATACAAAATACAACAATTTGTTTTTTATTTTTGAAGTTTTGATTTAAAGTTTCATAATTTTTTGACTGAAAATGACTATTATCTCCAATTTAGATAGACCTTGAAAAATATTATGTATCTTCGTATCAATTGCGTAACCATAGAATGGCAGACCAGGCAAAATGCCACGGGCTCTGTCCTAAATAAAACTACAACATCAAGCTTTTTTAGATAAAAGAGGGCATCATTATTTCGTCGATTTACTGTGGGCCGCACATGGTATTTTTTTTATGGGCGAAGATGTAATGGTAACCCCGTCTGCACTATCGGTATATGCGTGCGTGGCACCAGAAAAACATGATACATGATGATGAAAGCAAGTCATTTAACTGATTGTAACGAATTTATCAAGAATTAACCATAAAAAAAATGGGATTTTAACAGCCCCATCAGGTCGAACTCCAGGCGGTTCCCCTTGGAAATCATCGTGATTAATTCTTGTGGTATTCGTCCCGGTGGTCTAACAGACCTGCTTTTATCTTCACCTATCATCTCCGACTGGTACCCCGCAAGCGTATACTGATTGTCCATGCACGTTTACCATTGTATTCTCATCCATTAAAATAAAAATACCTATCTATAGATAATTCTTACGCATATACGTGTATCGGTTATAATAAAACTATCCGAAATCAAATTATAATTTTTGAACAAATATAGTAACTTATAGTCAGACTATTGTAATTTTGGTGTTGGGATGTTTCAAAGTCTGTTGCAGAAGCGTAACCGCACACTATTGTTAATTTTTTTTTATACAACTTAGAATGGCAAACAAGCTAACGATACACTTGATGGAAAGTGGTAATCGTCGCCTATAGACATGAGCAGTACCATGGACATAACAGAGTATACTGTTTCGCCCATGATACCCCCCATGCGTTGCCATTCCTGAGGACTCAGATGTTATTCCTCTGTACCCAGTAAATTCACGCCATATCACACCCTTCAAACCGAAACACAGCCATGCAAACACAACTGCTTTACGGTTGAAACACAAATGGAACAGAGGTACCCAAGCGATCCATTTTTGAACAAAGTCCCCTCTGGTATTGTTAAATTCTCTGAAAGGCATAAAATTACGTTCATATTTTGATTTAACCTGTTCCTTAAATTGTTCATTGTCACGATTTTTATTCCTAGATTAATTTTCGTTGCACCTTGTATATGCTTGGAGGCCAAAAACACGAGTTAGAGTTTCATCCAATTTCGTCTAGGTAGTAGTCTCAGTTTGTTATAAAGAAGTAAATAGTAAATAAAAGTGTTTTGCATTTTTATTAGCTTTAAAGTTTTATTCATTCTAGAGGTGGTACTCTATTTCTCTTGTATACTTTTTTATGTCCCGTAAATATATTAGTTAATTATGAACCAATTTTGATAATTTATTTTAGTTTCATAAGGATTCAAGTTTCAACATGCTAATCGTACTAATGTGAATTTTTTTGGATAGGTATTTTAAAGAAAAACAAATTTAACAGAAATTATTATGCGAAAAACATAATATATGAACATTTAATTTTCAGCTGTATTTATGGCGGAGGTATTTAAACTAATAATTTGCGTTGCCCTTGTGATGCAAGAATCTGGCAATATTAAAAAGGGAGTACATTCTATGTATACAACCGTCATATTGAACGTGAAGGACACTCTACGAGTTTGTGTGCCATCTTTTCTTTATATTGTGCAAAATAATTTACTTTATGTGTCTGCATCAAACCTAGACGCTGCAACGTACCAGGTAATTCAGTTTATTCTATATTATAATAGCATGCACAATATTTATAATTTTATGTGAACATAATATATATGTATTTATATTATGTTTACTTACTATTTACATATACATTTTGATTTGCGATTCCCATTGAGTACGTTCCTTGTACCTATTATTCCTATGTACGATGCAGATCTTCAAAATGGGACAAAATCATCTATACGGCAAGACGCATGATCTAAATATTAGAACTTCAAATTAAGTTTGAGAGAGGATATGTGAATTTTTCTTTAAAGGGGACGTCATAACTTTGAATATTGCTGGTGGAAAGAGGAAGTTGTCAATTGTCTGTATTTCTTTTATTTTTGCACTCTAATTTCAGGTTACGTATCAATTAAAATTGCTGACAACTGCGTTGTTTGCTGTAGTCGTTTTAAAAAGAAAACTCAAAAAGTGGCAATGGTTGGCTCTAGGACTATTAGCTGCAGGCGTGGCACTTGTACAGTTGTCCTCTACGGGGACATCTGGAAGCAACAAAACATCCCCTAATTTACCACAACAATCCAGAGTATTAGGATTTAGTGCGGCATTAGCAGCTTGTTTTATTTCGGGATTTGCAGGAATTTATTTCGAAAAAGTGTTGAAGGAGTCTGATATATCTGTAAGTATATTAAAATGTAGCATGAATGAAATTTATCACAATTTTTTCTATAAATTCTATAAACAATAGAATTATTGGTAAAATAAAATATATGTGTGGATCTACATATTATGTAGTGTAACTATGATTTCTATAATTTTTTTGTAATATTGAAAAGTAAGAATGTGATTAAAAACTCTAATGATACTTTTTCTTATTTGAACTGTGTGGAATTAAAAAGTCATATAGTGAAAAAATATTTTTAGAGGTGTTTTTTTAATGTATGAAAATGGAATGGTAAACTCCGTCCATATATTATTTTACGCATTAATAGTTAAATCATTACATTAAGTCACAACACCCAACCCATCGTGATAAATTCACTAGGAATTAATTAAGATTTCTCCAAAGGCGATCGCGTGTATATTAAATTGAAAAATATTGCTATTAATGTGTCCATACTCTTTGATTATAACGATCCCTTATTCACTATTGAACGGTGTGGACTGCCGTTCGGTGAGCGTGGACTGTAGGGGCGTTGGTTCAGGCTGGAGTGAAACACAGCGATTACTATTCTGAAGCCTCCGGTACCGTCTGAAGAGAGTATTTTTTCTTCTTGTCCTATTTCTTCTCGAGTGTAGTGCGTCGCTGCTCGGAAGCGAATGCCGCTCGACGGGAGGCGGCCTATCTTTATACCCGCCCGCTCGCACGATAACATTTCTAACTCGCGTTAGCGAATCTGTGCGAGCGGGACGGGGCGAGAGTGAACGAGACGCGTATCTCTTTAGAAGGTACCATATAGCGTCTATTTATTTATTACAATTTACAATTTCTTATTTGTTTTTACAATTTCTATTCCTTGCAGGTAATAATGACAACACGTAAAGAATGCTTTATTTGACTTACACTATAGGTATCTTAAATCTATGTAAAATCTATATAAAATAACAGTATACAAAAACGATTAAACTAGGGACTTAACAACTATAAATTACGATTACATATATACAAATAATGTCGCGAACATAATCTCCCGCCGCAGCTCTCGTAGCTGGAGTCAACTCGTGTTCGCGTCGCTCGATGTCGATGTGGGCAGTATGATCAACTTCTTAGTGGGTCGCCGTAGGATGCCCCTGTTCGTCCGCACGTCGACCGCTCGGATCTCGCCGTCTGGTCCGGGGTAGGTCGCCACCACCACGCCTCGCGGCCACGTGTTGCGAGGCAAGGTCCCATCAGCTATTAGGACCAGGTCGTCCATTTTGATGGCTCCGTGTGTAGCTCGGGGCTCCCGCCGGTGTTGTAACTCGGGTAGGTACTCCTTCACCCACCGGTTCCAGAAGCAGTCAGCTAGCCTCTGGCTGGCACGCCACTCCTTGTGTCCCGCCGCGTCGCTCTCTGTGAAGCTGCCTGGCAGTGGGACGCGCGATGGACCGCCCAATACGAAGTGATTGGGGGTTAGGGCGCTGTCGTCGTCTGCCGATGTTGACACGTGGGTTAGCGGTCGGCTGTTGAGGGTGTGCTCGACTTCGACCAGTAGAGTGTGGAGGACCTCTTCCTTGGGCGCCCGCTCGTTCAACGTGGCGGCTAGTGCGGTCTTCACGCTACGCACCAACCGTTCCCACGCACCTCCCATTAAGGGTGCGCTCGGGGGAATGTAGCGCCACCGGATGAAATGGACTGATGACTCTTCTTGGATGGCTTCCTCGGCTGCTTTCTTCAGTTCGACGTCAGCACCTTTGAGGTTGGTGCCTTGGTCGGACCATAATTCCGTGGGACACCCTCTGCGGCTTATGAAGCGCCGCAGGGCCATTATGGCGGAGTCCGTGCTGAGGCTGCCGGCGATTTCCAGATGGACTGCGCGCGTCGTTAGGCAGGTGAAGAGCACTCCGTACCGTTTCTGGTGAGTGCGGCCCACTGTCACGGTCATAGGCCCGAAGTAGTCTAGGCCGGTGAACGTGAACGGTCGTTGATGATGCGCCAGCCTGCTCTGCGGATGGTTGCCCGTTGACGGCTGCGCCGGTCTTGCTCTTCGTAGGCGGCACAGCTGACACCTCTTCAGTTCACTGCGGACGGCGTGTCGTAGGCGCAACACCCACAAGTGTTGTCGCACCTCATTCGTGGTGATCTCGAAGCCGCCGTGGTGAAGTTTCCGATGCACCCATGCGATGTATAGGCGCACCCAGGCGTGGTTTCCGTCGACGATGGGGGCTCTCGTTGCTCGGCTGACAGATCGGCGGCGGCTGCTATTCTCGATCGAAGTCGCAGAATGTCGTCGTTGTCTATGACGACCGACAGCTGTATGAGTCGACTGGATGACGGCAGCTGTTTCCCTTGTTTCAATACTGCGATTTCGTTGCCGAACGCCTCTTGTTGTATCGCGCGAATCCATAGTCGTCGCGCGCGATCTAGGTAGTGTGTGTTTATGGGGATGAAACACACAGATGGACTATTGCTGTTCTTGATTTTCATCTTCGTCTTCTCTCTATCGACTTTCTTCGTGCGGGTCCAAGTGGGGTCGGCGCTCTCTTTCTTCTTGTTTCTCTTTCGGATGGCGGTGCAGCGTTGACTGGTCGGTCGCAGGAGGTCGATGAACTGCAATACCCGTGCTGAACTGCGAACAAGTTTCAACCAATTAGAAAAACGTGACGGATCGGGTAATGCTATGGGCAACTGCGTCGCGTTCTGTAGCTTGTGTACGCGTTCTTCTCCCGTTTCCACTTGACTATCGTCGCTCGAACTATCTTCACGCGGCCACTGCTCTTCGGGGAGGTACAGGAAGTCCGGCCCACGGAACCATCTATGCTGCGAGCCGAAGTCCGTCGGTGGGTCGCGTGTGGCGTCGTCTGCTACGTTGTGCCGCGTCGGTATCCACCTCCACTCGTTCGTCTTCGTTTCTTCGACGATCTCGGCTACTCTGTGCGCGACGAACGGCTTGTATGCGCGAGGACCGGTGCGTAGCCATGCGAGCACGGTGCGTGAGTCCGACCAGTATACTCGGCGAGCGGGCTTCAGGTCGTGTTCTTCGATTGCCGTGCGTGATAGGCGACACCCGAGGACGGCCGCTTGCAGCTCCAGTCGCGGTATCGTGGTCACTTTGTTGAGTGGGGCCACTCGTCCCTTAGCCGCGATCAGCGACACGTGGACCTCGCCGGTCGCGCTTACGGCCCGCCAGTACACGGCACAGGCGTACGCGTCCGAGCTGACGTCGACGAATGTATGCAGCTCCGCTGTATCGGCCGTGGCTACCTCCGGGTAGCACCGCGGCACCTCCAGCGCGGACAGCCGTCGCACGTGGTCCATCCAGCTCCGCCAGGCGTCCGCTTCCCGTGGTTGCAGCTCGGTGTCCCAGTCGATACCGGTACGCCACGTCTCCTGCAGTATCTTCTTCGCCTGTATAGTGATGGGAGTGGCGAGGCCCAGTGGATCGAACAGCGACATGATCGCTCGTAGCGCTTCCCTCTTCGTCGGCCTCTGTTCCCCGCTGGCTATCTGTGGCGGAAGCTTGTGTCCGTTGAAGTTGAAGCCTAAGGTGTCTTCCGAAGGTCGCCATACCATCCCCAGTATCTTCTCTGCGTCGAGTTGTACCACGCTGTCTCCGCCGGTGTCGGAGAACGCGGCGCGCACTTGATGCGAGTTCGACGCCCACCGTTGGAGATAGTAGTTGGCTCGACCGTGGATCTGTGCGACCTGTCTTGAGACGCGTACGGCTTGCTCTTCCGTGTCGAAGCTGGCGAGGTAGTCGTCGACGTAGTGGTTCATGACCACCGCCGTTGCTGCCTCCGGGAACTCTTCCTTGTACTGTTCTGCGTTCTTGTTCTTGACGTAGATCGCTGTACACGGTGACGATGTTGCGCCGAATATGACACTCTTCATCCTATATTCCACAGGTGGACCCTCTCGTCGATCTCCTCGCCACAGGAACCGTTGCATGTCCCTATCTTCTTCCCGTATGGTGACCCGCATGAACATGTCCTTTATGTCCGCCGTGACTGCCACCCGTCGTTGCCTGAACTGCATGAGGACCCCCGGTAGCGATTGAAGTAAGTCGGGGCCCGGCAGCAGCATGTCGTTCAAACTGATGCCCTTCGTCTTGGCTGCTGCGTCGTGCACGATCCGCAGTTTCCCCGGTTTCTGCGGGTTGATGACGGCGAAGTGTGGCAGGTACCACACCCGTTGGGAACTCCGTGGCGGGGCGACTTCAGCATACCCGTTCTTGAGTAGCGTGTCAATTTGCTGTTCATATCTCTTCTTAATTTCTTCATTCTTGTCGAGTTTCCTTTCGACCAGTTGGAGACGTCGCATTGCCGATTCGTAGTTGTCCGGCGGCACAGGGTCGTCCTTCTTCCATAATAACCCCGTCTCGTATCCTCCCGCCGGTAGCGGACGAGTTTTCTCCTCTAAAATGCGTAGGGCGCGACGTTCCTCTTCATTGTAGGACCTCTTCGGTGCGATCCCCAGCGATTCGAGCGCGAAATGTTGCTTCATCATTTCTTCCATCGATTGTTCCTCTTCATGTGTCGTCACTATGTGGCTGATTCTGTGCACCTGCTGTCTTGTCCTGCCGCGACTCGTACCGTGCAGTACCCATCCCAGGTCGGTGAGTGATGCGACCGGCTGCGTGTCGGATCCTCTTCTGACTTCGTGGGCCAGCAGTAGGTGCCAGTTGTCTTGCCCCAACAGTACCGTCGGTTTGCCCTCTTCATAGACCAATTCCCTCTCTATGTCTCGTAGATGTGGACAGCCCTTGATGACGCTGCGCGGTACCGACTGCGGTGATAACTGCAGTCTGTCCATCGTCCGTGCCCCCACTGTGTATTCTTGTGAATTCCGCCCGCGGATCTTGAAGTGAACACGCGTCGATTGAGCTGCGTTGATCCGTGCCCCGGCCACACCTTCCATGTAGAATGGTGCGGGGGACCCGTAGCACCGATTCGCTCCGCCACCGTCGTCTCGATGATGGTGCAAGTCGACCCGTCGTCCAGTAGCGCGTAGGTGTCGCACGTTCCCGTGGGACCGGTGACTCGTATCGGCAGGATCTTCAGGAACGCGATCTTGTCGTTTTCCCTTGCCGATGCGGCGACTGCGGCGGACTTGTCCTCGACGAC